GGAATAAACCTTCTGAAATCGTGACCAATTAGTCGTGACCAAAACAAAGGCTCACCAGAAGTGAAATAAAAACTTCCTGAATTATCACCACGCTTACACTTTTATAACAAAACAAGCGGTTGTCATACACGATACGCCGAGATTCTGTAAGATATGGATAGGGAACAGGGAAAATCGATAGGGCTCAACCTCTCATTGTCCCAATGCCTAACATCGAATATGAAATTGTAGCCTTTATCGCGTTCACAAGGATTTTGGCAAAGTTTGGTAACTCGATGGGGTTTGTCGTCTCATGACCCCAATGCTTCACATCAAATGTGAAAAAATAACACACGGTTAAAACGCAAGCCCCTGTCGCTTCCACAAGGTTTTCGAGGGGGCTTAACTCCAGAACAGACGGTCGCGGAATGCTGATTATCAATATGATTCTTGCTCCCGTGTTCTCAATTCATCACAATATAAAGCTCAAAAACTTTGTTACGCTTTGTGTATGCAAGGCCATAATCCAAGCAGATGCACCAAAATCGAATTCAACCAAGATCTTTTGATCCTCGACATCTAAAACGGGCAAAGATTGAGGCTTAAAGATTGGCATTTGTATTTATAGCTGCGTATCGGTATCATTGGTAGTCCAAAGAAACGCCCAAAAGCAGACGAACCTTTACTGTAACATGCAGCTGACATTTACATACAATCCACGAAATTGAGTCGAAACCAAACGCAGTGATTGATGATCACAATGATTGTTAATGGCAATCTTTTCAGATTCACAAGGATACATAAGATAACATGATACCATATTTTCAAAGCATGAATTTTAGATTCTCGAAGCACGGATTTTTCATTTCGAGGCACGTCCGTGTCTGTAGGCACGTTAAAATAGGCCCTGATGTATATGTAATATGCGCTATTTTCATTATAATTAAATATACATTAATTTGGAAGTTCGCTAAACACACGGACATTGTAATATTACATAATAAAAGTATCAGTACTAATAGATTAAGTGAATGAACCCTCCCAGTTTCCGACCACAAGGACCACAACCGGCCCGGGCTCCCGTGTCGGAGCGGTCCCTTTTACTGACCGCGGGTCCGGGGGCTCTCCCCCCTGGAAAATTTTGAAAAATGAACCCCAAATATGCGATTTGGTGGCATATCTGATATCTCTGTCAAATAATATATCTCATAAATCGATTAATTTAGGCCAAAACCCCAACCTGCAAGTAATTTCCAACCATCAACCTGTGAAATTATCATATCGTCATATTATTAATTACCGTATTATCATTGTATCGTCAAGAGTGAAGAGAATTTAACTGGTTAAAAATGGGGCTAGTTGAGAAAATTTTGACTATTTGATTAACCAGTTAGGAATATTGAATAACTAGGAATATTTTCATTGAAAAATGTCCCATTTTTGTTGCCGGGAGCGCTAGTTGATTCCTCCTGTAATGGAAGGCCACAAGACACATTGGTACAGAATGACGGAAGTGAAATTCATGAAAGCTGCTTTTTGAATTTTGGATTTGTTCGGATGAAATTCGGAATCCCCATTGCAGGATTCCGAATTCCGGCCCACATCCAGCACACCTGGCCCAGAAAGTCTATTATACCAGCCCGTTAAAGCCACCGGCCACATACAACATGTATAACACTATAGGGTTATTTTAGGTCTAAGAAAAGTGTTCTGTTTAATATAGGAATCTTTACCTACATGATGTGTGACGAAAACTAGGGTAATGAAGTAGCTTGCATTATCCTACTACTAACTTAGAGTCTAGATTTAGACTAACTCACCCCCAGTTATGTCAGTATCCATTTCTGGAAAGTAGGGTACTATCGTCCAGTCCTCTCGTGCACAGATTAGTACAATTAACTGTAATAATGTTGACGTTAAACGGTGCCTATATGAAACACTTAACCAAAAATGGTAATTGTCCCGCCCTAAAAGCTAATGCATTATACTTCTATACATTATAGAGCGGGTTTTATTTATCCTCAGACAACCATTCGGAGCCCAGGGGATCACCATACCTATAGCCTCCTCGGCTTAGAGGCTAGGGCGAACACATCATCCTAGCGCGAACCTTATGTAGAACTAACAAGAAGTATGTGGCTCTTACCACGTTTAAGCCGTTTCTGAGTTAGAAAGGGTATTAAACTCAGACCTTGGAGATTTTAATAACTCGAAAAGTAACTATCATAGATATTGTAGTTTCGTGTATGTAACCTCTGTAGTTTGCTGTGTTCGTTAGATAAACTTAGTAACAACATAAACGGTGTACAAGAGTCAATTGATTGATGATTGAGATAATTGATTCAACAACGTGAAGTCCAAGCAGGTCCTAGACGATCATAATAGTGTCACATCCAATTCCTTTTTGATGGCGCGAAACAGGATAGTGTCATACATGATCATCATCGCTCCCTGGCCGGTCCAATACCCCCCCCCCCCATATAATGTTTAGCAGAAAAAAGGGTTTTTTAGACGATTTGGACAAAAAAAATTTCTTTTCATTTTTTGTCCGACCGGCCGATCGCCCGATCGCCCGATGCCCCAATCCGCCCCTGCTTCTTGCCGTGTTTATTGAATTCTTTTACAATAGTAAATACCATGGGAAAATCAACATGGCTGTTATTTCTTGTTTGTCTAATGATGATGTTTTTTTTTTTTTACTATACTGCGATTCCTTTAATGACTTTATACTATATTATTTGAATAAGTACAGACAAAAACGCAGGTAAGACATGTTTTCTTTCAATTCGTATATATACTCTTACAATTGGCTTTATATAAGCATAATATTAGGTACATGCTGTACACACTGCAATGTATTAATTATGTTATAGAAATGTATTTGACATCAGTAATTGACACAGAGAAAAATAATTGAGATCTTCGTTTCCACCTTCAAAATGTGTATGATTTTGAAATATTAAAGATTATATACTATTATTCTTCTTGAGAGTATTTTAATTTCAACACATATTGTTTACAATTGCTAAGGTGTTACCAAACAACGTTAAGACAGTCTGTATTAAAAACTGGAATTGCAAGCCACAATTTTCTTGAAATGGACAATCATACCTTGAAACGGCACATTCGTATAACGAGAGACAAATTTGAAATTTTATACATTTTTTTAATACGATCGGGTTTGGCAGAGCGCAATTTAAGCGTTGGTGATGCAGCGAGAGTGCCAATTGAAAAGAAAAGTTTGCTGTTTTTGTATGGCCAATAATGAAACATTCCGAGAACTCTCGGATAAATTTGACGTGGCCAAAAGTACAGCTCATTTCATTGTTTGTGCTATTCTTAAAAATATTTCAAACCTTTCACGTCAAAATATAAAATGGCCCGATCAGCACCAGAAAGAAGTAAATGCACGCAAATTCAACAATTATTATTTTGATAACGTTATTGGAGCAATCGATGGTTGCCACTTCAGAATTCAGAAAACGGGGAAACGATTATTTAAATAGGAAAGGCTACTATTCGATTTTGTTACAGGGCATCTGTGAGCACTCTGGACGATTCATTGACATTTTCGTTGGGCCCCCAGGAAGGGTCCATGGTGCAAGAATGTTACGCAACTCACCATTTTTCAATAACTGGCAGACAAAAATGGGTGACATGAAACTTTTGGGAGAAAGTGCATGTGAAACTTGAAATGTAAATTTATAACCCAAAGATCTCGGTTCCTTTCGATATTCCTGAATTATGGCCCCTGACTATACGAAAAATCGCGTTTTAGCTTGTGGACCCTATAGTTAAAGATGCAGATTTCATAAGATTTAGATAAAGAGCTGACAGTTCTCACAATAATAGTTTCAAAAAATAGATAATGAAAGGGGAATATGTTTAAAGTTTCTGTCAAGTTACTTCATTCTGAGAGGAGTTATCGTCGTTTACAGAAGAGCTTAGTCTAGATGGTCATTTTTGAATTAAATCATAAATCTGTTAAAAATCAAAACCGTCCGAAGTTATGGAGAGTTGATTATGGGCCTGGTATGTAAATACATATCGCATTAATTTTTTATAGAACATTTGAGGTCAAAGGAATGATCTGCAATATGCAAATTTAGCTCTAAAAAATGTATATTTAACCAGCATAACATCCTTTATACTCAGTTATTATAAAATCTCAATATGTTTCACAACATTCAGCATGGTTAAACATTAGCGATAAAATCACAAAACGTTTCACTACCTTCCGCATAATTTAATGTTAGCGATGAACGATTAATGTACATGGATGATAATTTGGCAGCTATTTGACTGTGACTCAAAAATTTCATTCAACTTCACGTATTCTTTGAAACGGTTCAGTCGCAAAAATTAATAATTTATGTATTTTGTTTGAAACAAGGTATTTTTACAGCTACAAAAAAAAAAATGTGTTCGTTTTTGTGGAAATGCAAGATGATACTGATTTCATACATGGGTTACAGATACAAAGCAGGCTGATATGAATATTATATGACTTGTTGCTTTGTATTTATATTTATTTATATTGTTGCTATGTTTATCCTAAAACATTCGTGATAAATATCATATGAAATACGAAGACAAACCACGCTTGTGTTAAGATTTCATAGTTTGATTGTCTATTGTTGCTATGTTGAAAAGTGAAGTAACTATATATCAACATTGTTATGCATACTGCCTCAGTTTTTTGTTTTTAAAGATAATGTCCCGCAATATATTCAAACAAAGATGGTCACCCTAAATGTGTCTAAAATAATTTACATAACATTTGAAGCCGAAGAAAGATCTGCAATAAGCAGATTTAGCTCTTTAATGATTTAAAAAACTGTTTTTGAATTTAATTTGCAAAAAAAAAAGCTAATATTGGGTAACCCCTCTCAATGGTAGTAGCAGGCTGGGACGCGAATAACTGCTGATCGTTTGATATAGAAAGGGAGATAACTAGATTCTTTAATATCTCTTAAGCGGCCCGGTCATTATATGACGTCATTCGCGGTATTCCATATCGCTCACATCACTAACAATTATCCGTTGCATAGGAACGACGCCATTTTTGATGCCTTATTTTGACAAAATATTGTTTACTTTCGGTTTTTTCACCAGTCTTACTCTCTATCATCTGTTTATCGTTAGTTTGTAAATTTAGTAAAATGATTTTGATTACAGATCCCGGAGTAGAAACAAAACAACCTATCCCACATTTAATACAGGTAATACATGTAGCTACCAGTTTTAGTCGAGAAAGTTTTCCCGATTGATGAAATTTATATTTTATTTTTTATCCATGATATTGATTCCAACCAAGTATTTGGCCTATTCGACAACAGTGACAGACAGAAATGTAAAATGAACAAGGGTCTCGATAGCTACGAGAACGTAGCTAAAAACGTTGAGATATACTGATGTGTTTGTTTTTAGCTACGATTGGATGCCTTTAGGCCCTTGTTCCAAGTGACAAACTCAATTTCTTTATTAATGCATGTAACGTTACATCTTTAAAATAAGATGAGTTTATGCTATTATGATTAATTAAACTTACACAACTGTCGCCTAACTCCAAATATTCGCGTTTTAATTAATGAAGTGTTGTTTTTGTCTGACTTTCACCGCCATCGAAATACTTTCATAGTTAAAATGCTTTAGATTGCCCTTTTGATTGGCTGTTATAAATGCCTTATATTTAGCCCCGCCTTCATGATGACAGCGTATCGTTTAAAAAGAGGGCGGTCTTAGTAACAGCTTAACGCCTCGATTTTAAAAACGACGATTTGTACCCGTTTCAGGTAGTATTATATGGTAAATTGTAGTTGGATGTGGCAGAAATATTATAAATAACAATAATCAATCGTTGTTTTGATTAAAAATATTGTCAATTTTGTTTACAAATGCCGGGTGCGAATCGCTCCCCCATGTGCTACATGTGCTACATCAAGTTAGATAAATTCAGGCAAATTGATTAGCAACCAATAGTTTTAATTAGCGCTATGATATCCATAGTACCTATAGACTACGGAAATGTGTGATTGGTGGAGTAAAGTCTATCAGTTGAATTTTGCAATATTATGCAAAGCTTTATTTCAGTCACACTGTTTCAAAATTTTTGTTGAAAATAATTCAAGGTCTGATATATTGATGTGTATGAATATGTTATAACCGATAAGAAACATAACATAGTAGGCCTAGTACTAGTACATTAGTACTAGTATTAGTAGTAGGCCTATCGCTTATCAGAATAATTTCGATGACATTTCTGGGTGATTAGATAAAGAGCTGGTAGTTCTCACTATAATAGATAAAAATTATATAATGTAAAGGGAATTTGCTGAAAATTTCAGTCAAATTGATCCACCCTGAACCGAGTATTTAGTGATTTAATTTTGGGCCTAGCCTCGATCATCACTACTAAAGTCGGTACGATAAAAAACATAGTCTCGATTATCCACTTTTTGATTTAATCAGAATCAGGAGACCAGGTTCTAATCCAGTAAATATCGCTGGCTAGCGATGCCATTGATAGTTGATTATAAATGGTCTGGATGTTAATTAATGTCTAATTAATAATTTAGATAACATTTCAGGCCAGTAGGCCTAAACAAAGACCTGCAATTGGTAGGATGCCCCACCATAAATAAATATCTCGCAATATCTCCAAATATTTTGACAATTATAGGGTGTATACCTCAATAAGTATAACATTACTTAACTTACCACCTCACATTTATAGTCCCTAAATAAACAGTTGTGTTGTATTTAAGAAGTTATAACCATTTAAACATCAATAAAAAAATTAGACTGAAAAGGACAAGTGGTCAATCCGCCGCCATTAAATCTGGGCATTTTTTAGTGCAAAATAGATTATCTGCCCTTGTTATGAAATTAGTCCCACTTAACCTGTCTATCAACCGTTCTCCGGCTGATTGACAGGCTAGAATAATCAAGACTATTTTCTACGAAACGTTACAGAAAGCTAGATCCCTAAATCTGATTTAGAAACACAAATGTTAGGCAACTCAACAATTGTTTTGAGAACCTTGTAAAAACAAAAGGAAGATACTACTCGTATGCTATTCTTGTCTAACAAAGGAGCTTCAGAGATATTACTTTTACTAGACCAAAAGATGCAGCTCCTAATGGTATACTGGTATAGTATAATATAGCAAATTAAAAAAACAAAACAAAAGTAATTTTCCAAAGCTGCCATAACAATGAATCCGAAATATTATTGCTATTCAGAATCGTTAACAATAGATTTTTACGGCTTTAATAGACAATAGATGTGTTGAAAATTTCACGTGCAGTGGCTATTTATAGCATTATTGACCATACCACCCAGTATTCTCGCACTGCGTAACTAGCCAGAAATTAGTTCAGGACTAGTCACTGAAGCGTGCACATTCGCTGTGGTGTGTGTAACTTTTAATAGAGAAAATTTTGGCTCTGTGGGGCACCACCCTACAATTGGCAGATTTAGATCTTGCATAATGTATGTTTAATATTCACAACCATGTAATTTGTTGACGTATTCGTTCGTCAGTGCAAATCATCGATGATACATCGGTAAATTTGACAGATATAACATACATTTACAACGAAGATCCCTGCCGCAAATCTCTGTTATAAATTCTGTAAACCCGTCATTTAATACCCGCATTAATACTAGTGCCTACCTTTGTTATATATTTGATATCTATCCCATTTTGTAAAGAAAATCCATCAATAATTTTTATTTTATCAAAAAAACAGCTGTCATCAGGAAAAAAATCAGGGGACGTCATATAGGAGGCGCTAAAACTTTACTTTTAGCAGTAATAGGTATTAGATACTAGATGATCGTGACTAAACTGGTGAACAAATGTCCAAAAATCGTTATAAAAACTGGTGAACAAATGTCCAAAAATCGTTATAAAAACTGTCCACAAATTTTACAGTTAAAAAGGAACATAAAATTGTCCCTGCGAGAAATAAAAGAAGCAAAATTTATGATAAGCATTGATTAGCAACGGGCGATATTTGATTTGCAAAGTGCGGTGCAAACACGGTTATGAGACCCCTGAAAGTGAACTAAAATTAGAAAAAAATCTAGTTCATGTCAAGATGGGAGGAAGCCGTAGTGGCTTAGTGCATAAGTAGCTGACTCACTAATTACAATGTATCACTCAGCAGAATGGTCAGGGTTTCATTTTATAACATTCCCGCCCAGTATTGGTTGAGAAAGTACCTGGGAATTTTCCGGGGTTGACAGTGGTACAGTATCACTATCCGCGAATATGCATCTTGTTACCAATGAATGTAGTGTTCAACCATTGGCATTATGTTTGAAAGAGGCATTCTCATGTACTGTTAGGCCTAGCAGTCAGCACATGTCACCAATAATGAAATAATTTTATTCAGTACAGTTCAATCAGTAGAGTTCAGATTTTTTCATCCAACAAGGTTGTTTAATAAGAACGGGGGTTGGCTTGCCGAATGGTTAGCGCATGTGCATTGTATCATAAGGTCTGTCATTGAGTCAACTGATGTGGTTTCGATTCCCTGGTTGTACGTGACAAGGAGTAGGGTTGCCTGTCCAACCTCGTGGGTTTCTCTGGGTCCTCCGGTTTCCTCCTACTGCTAGGCGAATTATTGAAATAAAATTAAACCATATGTTAGTACAGAAATCACCTAGTTTATGTCGAGTAGACGTTAAACCCCATTTCTCGCTCTCTGTTTAATAAGACATAAAAATGTTTTCTTGGTTTTCAGCCACGAGAACACAAGGCTAAGATAAGTGTATGGTGAGTTATGAATTCTGATGAGATACATCGTAATTTAAAATTTGTAAATGTAATTGATTTGGATAGCACACAAAAATCTTATAGGAGTATTACTATTATTAGTCATAGTAGAGCTCCCAATAAAATCTCCCATTGCTATTTTATTTTTTTTATCATGAAAATGTTTTCCATGTCTGTAATTAATGCTCATACATTCTGTTTTGAATTGATCCAAAATAAGTGTTTAAATAAAAGGATGTGCTGTATAAAATGTATATTAATAATGGTGATTATTTAAAAATGTAATTTAAATAAATCTTCCCCAGAAATAGTTACTGTAGCCAATGCAAGAAATAGCTCAAGTGGTCTACTTAGAATTTTCGGGTAAAATAAACTACTGCTGTATGATTTTAGGGCTGATCTGACTGTTGATGATATAGATAAATTGAATGAATCATTGAATGCAGATCACAATAAACAGTAAGTAATTTATTCAGTTTGTTTGGGTTTTTATACATTCGGGAAAATTGAAATAAAACTGCCCGACAAAATGTCTGCTCTTTGTACGCAAATTGTGTAAAAGTATGCAATTTTTATACGCCCCCATTTTCATGTGGACGTATATTGTCTTCACCCCTGTTTTTCCGTCCGTCCGTCCACAATTTGTTTGTGGACACTCTACAGGTCACAATTTTTACCCGATTTCATCGAAACTTGAAATATAGCTTTATCTCCCTAAGATCTCGGTACCTTTCGATATTATGGCCCCTGATTGTACAAAAATTTGCGTTTTTAGCTTGTGGACACTCTAGAGGTCACTATTTTGATGAAAATTGAAATGCATGTTTATAACCCAAAGATCTTGCTTCCTTATGATATTCGCGCACATCAGATTGTAACTTCCTGAATTATGGCCGATGATTTTACGAAAAATCACGTTTTTGGCTTGTGTTCCCTCCAGAGGTCACAATTTTTATTCAATTTATAAAACCGTTTTATTATATCACCGTTACACCGTAATGAAGGTTGGGTTCGAATTTCGTGAAAATCGGACCAAGACTGACGGACAAAATGGCCGCCGCTCGTACGCGAATAGTGTCAAAATATGGTATATCAAGGTTGTGGACCCTGTAGAGGTCAAAGTTTTTATCCAATTTTGATGAAACTTGAAATGCATGTTTATAACCCAAAGATCTTGGTTCCTTTCTATATTTGCGCATATCGAATCATAACTACCTGAATTATGGCCCCTGATTGTACGAAAAATCACCTTTTTTTTTAGCTTGTGGTCCTCTGGAGGTTACAATTATTATCCGATTAAAAAGAAACGTTTGATTATATCACCGTTACATCGTAATGAAGGTTGAGTTAGAATATCATGAAAATCGGCCCAAAACTGCCGGACAAAATGGCCACCGCTTGTACGCGAATAGTGTAAAAATATGGTGTATCAAGGTTGTGGACTCTGTAGAGGTCCCAATTTTAATCTGATGTTGATGAAACTGGAAATACATGTTTATAACCCAAAGATCTTGGTTCCTTTCAATATTTGCGTGTATAGGATCGTAACTTCCTGGATTATGGCCCCTGATTTACGAAAAATCACCTTTTTTCTCTTGTGCTCCCTCTGAAGGACACAATTATTATCCGATTTCAAAAAACGTTTGATTATATCGCTGTTACACCGTAATGAAGAATTTCGTAAAAATCGGACCAAAACTGACCGACAAAATGGCCGCCCCGCGTAACTTCCTGGATTATGGCCCCTGATTTACGAAAAATCACCTTTTTTCTCTTGTGCTCCCTCTGAAGGACACAATTATTATCCGATTTCAAAAAACGTTTGATTATATCGCTGTTACACCGTAATGAAGAATTTCGTAAAAATCGGACCAAAACTGACCGACAAAATGGCCGCCCCTCGTACGTAAATAGTGTAAATATCTGGTATATCAAGGTTGTGGACCCTCTGGAGGTCACAATTTTGTGCCGATTTTGATGAAACTTGAAATGCATGTTTAGAACCAAAGATCTTGGTTGTTTTTGATATTCGCGCATATTGGATCGAAACTTCATGAATTATGGCCCCTGATTGTACGAAAAATCGCATTTTTAGCTTGTGGACACCCTAGAGGTTACAATTTTGATCCATATCGGATCGTAACTTCCTGGATTATAGTCCATCATTGGTCGAAAAATCACATTTTTAGTTTGTGGATTCTGTAGAGGTCCTAATTTTTTTTTTGATTTTAAAAACCATTTAGATCACTATTCCACCATAATGAAGGTTGAATTGGAATTTTATGAAAATCGAAATGAAACTGCTGACAAAATGACCGCTCTTTGTATGCAAATTGTATATAAGTATGTAATTAAAAGGTTATGGACCCTCAAGAGGTCACAATTTTTATCCAATTTTGATGGAACTTAAAACATATCTTTATATTCCAAAAATCTCAGTCCCTTTTGATATTTGCGCATTTCAGACCATAACTTTCTGGATTATGACCCCTGATTGTACAAAAACTCGTTTTTGTTTTTAGCTTGTTCTCTATCCATCTCTTGCAAAATGTGGGCGTTTCCTGCCTGGCGGCCTCTGGTTATCAGATTTTGATGAAACTTAAAACATATCTTTATATCCCAAAGATCTCAGTCCCTTTTGATATTTGTGCATTTCAGACCATATCTTTCTGGATTATTCCCCCCTTATTGTACAAAAAATCCTGTTTGTTTTTAGCTTGTTCTCTATCCATCTCTTGCAAAATGTGGGCGTATCCTGCCTGGCAGCCGCTGGTTTTTTTAGTAATCTTAGAGTAAAAAAAAAAACTAGATTTTCCCTAAAGTATTCAAGAACACAAAACAAAGACCAAACATCTTCATGATAGGAAAAATAAATATCAACTGAGAAGTTTTTTCACTTTTTTAAAAATTGATGTGTGTACGAGTGCTCAAGTAAGGTTCTATCAAACTAAGAGTTCATAGAGAGTGTTGTTTTTATTAGGTTCATCATGGTTCATGCATCAGGTCAAATATGTCACTTTTTCAAAATATCTAGCAAACTAATGAGGCATATTTATTTGTATTTCAGTTTTCTCAACATGCACCCTACTAGATTTAAAATTCATTAGCCACCTAGAAAAACAGATTGAATTGAAAAACACAAATAAATCTATGACCTAATATCCCATAAATGTAACAATTAATAGAAAAAATAGTCATGCAATAATTCAAATTTGTTTCAAAAATGCAAATTTTGATCGATAATTTCATAAAAATGAGTACGGTAATACAGAATAGTAAACAGGTTACATTGTTAAAAGTCCAAGGAACCATTTAGTAACTTTTGTTTTCAGTGTTTTAGCTGATCTGTTTGAGTTAGAAGACTATAAAGAAAACCTGAAGAGTGGTATTACAGTAGATCTGTATTACTATACGATACAGTTTGCCAGAGAAAATAATTTCACGAAAGAAAAAACATCAACTCTCTTCTCAATCATAAAGAAAACCCATGAAGTTTGCATTGGTAAGAGATTTTTTCCCCCAACAATTATGAATGTGCAAGGAATATTATGGTATTAATCCAACTCAAAGAGCTTTCCTGAAAGCCAAGATATTACAACATGGAATACATATATAATAATATTCCAGTGAATTAGTCACTTATTTTCCTGGTATTCTCCTGTGTATGTGCCTGTTGGTTTTGGATGAACAACATTGGTTAAAAATTGTCCCAGATTTTGATAGAAATAAAAAAAAAGGAATGGAATGGGGTTTTAACGTCCTACTTTTCTGCTCCGACTGGGCTAATAAGACGGGCATACCCCATACAGAGTGCTATGAGGGAAACTTTGCCTGGGCAGCGGCATGATGGCCTACTCTTACATCAAATTCCAACTGCCAAGGGTTCTTTTTACGTTCACGCCAATGTGTATATAGGACCTTGGTTTTTCATTCCATCCGAACGACTATATATGTTGTCCCTTGCCAGGCCCTCCGTCCTCCACCACTGACAAGGCGGAACCATGCCGGAAAATCCTGATGATCTTTCTCGGCCAACCAGGGATCGAACACTGGACCTCTAGGTTAGCAAGCCAATGTCTTACTCACTGAGCCACCAGTTTTGAGTAAGCTTATCTAACACAATATTTGGATTAAATTTTATTTTAACTTTGACTTCTATTCCAACTTGGGTTTTTGGGTTTTTTTTTTTTAATTATTTGATTATGACATCATTGATCATTGACCAATTTGAATTTTGATACTGTTTCAGAAACACCTTTTGGTAATCTAGAACAAACATTTAAATATTTTAAAGACTTGTTATTATGTCATGCTGTGAAAGTAAGTAAAAGATATTTGAACTATTGCATTTATAAAGCTTTTGGTTTTCTTACTCCTACATTTACAAAGATTTGCTTCCCCCTCCTCCTATTGATCTTGTGGAAGCTCGATTGTTATTTCAAAATAAAAATTGACATAATTGCAATCACATTTATAAATCTTTTGGTTTTCTTACTCCTACATTTACAAAGATTTGCTTCCCCCTCCTCCTATTGGTCTTGTGGAAGCTCAATTGTTATTTCAAAATAAAAATTGACATAATTGCAATCACACTATTCTTTCACTTACTTCTCTACGAAGCCTGTAAAAACTACCTTCTTTATATTCGCTTTGGACTTTTGATAAGTCACCTCACATAGTTTTGTGATTTTTCTATTGATACTGCAAGACAATTTATATATTCTTGGGGTATGGGGGTGTATTGCTGAGCAACAGGCTTAATTTATAAAAAAAAAGAAAGCATTTCATTGACTGGACAACAGCTCAAACTCCAGAAAAGGTAATATCACAAACGAAAGTATTTTATTATAAAATGGTATTTATTATAAATTTGAATATTTACAGAGACCACCTCATAGTATAGATCTGTTCGATGCAGATGAAGTAAGAAAAATATCTGAATATACCATTAACACATACTTCAGACATTTTAAAATGTACAAGTATGCTTTTACCCCATTGGTAAGTTTAATGTTGTCTTTTAGAGGAAACCAGAATTCACTTTCATGATTTTTTCGGTTTGAATGGTTTTGGGGTTCAATGGAATATGTGCGGCGGGACGATTTACCCAATACCACCTGAATACCACTCAAATATCACCACATACTACCCAATACTACAACATAATGGTGCCAAATGAGCATATTACTTGATTTTTTTAAAAAATAGTGAGATATATCGTGGGAAATGTACTTCAAATTCGATTACCGATGTCTGGCTGTTCCATTTGCCTCCCTATATCACCCAAATCAAGCAAAAAATAACCCAATACTACCAAATACTTATCAAATACTACTTAATTCTACCCAATATTATAAAATACAAACCTAATATCGTCAATTAGCAGCACATCAATATAATAATTGCAACGAATATTCGATAATTTACAGAAAAATAAAATATTTATGCAGTTCTCTCCCTTTACAACCGACAAATAGATTTTAGATTGCTACTCAGATTAATCATCTTGTTGGGCTTTGCAGTTTGTTTCCAAGACAAAAAAGAGTTTTAAAAGAAGTTACCAGAGATTTAAAAATGCATTAAAATAAAATCAGTTTATAAAATAAACAGCCTACATCCAAATAAATCCTGGTGATTTTAGTATGATAACCCGCTGTTATCACGCGGTCCTGTAAAAATCATTTGGGTATAATATGTCAGGAAATCACACAAATTTATCTTTACATCTGTCTTTTAATGACTTATTAACGAGTCTTCTTTGTCCTTTAAATGATTCCGGTTCCATACCAGGCGCCTTTGAAAAAAAAACCCCTCTTGTCAAACTTTCACCAATTCTTCGAATATCGACACTATTGAACAAATTCTAAGTATTCTACGGTATATACCCACAGGTGACGATGTCGCGGCGATGTCATTACCACCTAAATAAATAGACACGGTCACTAGTTTCATGCCACATATGCATATGTTTATATTTATTTTTTCATGTCAACGATTAAGTTATTGCATTATATACTTAATGGACGATGTTTTAGTTTAAAAGGGGATCACGTGGCTAAGTGGGTAAGACGCTGGCTCGCTAGCCTGGAGGTCGGGTGTTCGATCCCTGCATTGGCCGAGAAAGTTCATCCAGATTTTCGGTGTGGTTCCCCCTTGTCATTGATGCAGGACGGAGGGCCTGACAAGGACAGCTGTCTAGTCCTTCAGATGAAACGAAAAACCGAGGTCCCATGTATACATTGGAATGCACGTAAAAGATACCTTGGCAGTTGGAATTCGATATAAGAGTAGCGGATAGTACCGCTGCCCGGGCAAAATTTCCCTCATAGCACACACTGTATGGCGTATGCCCGTCTTCATTAGCCCAGCATAGGAGCAGAACAGTAGGACGTTAAACCCCATTTCATTTCATTTCATTTTTTTAGTTTAAAATTGTACATGTTTATTACAAATGTGTAATGCTCTACTCGTATAAACATTCCACCTGACTTAACAATTTATCAATGGGGTTAAGATTGTTGATTGGGTAATCAAGTTCTGGTTTATTTATATTATCAAAGAAACCGACAGAGCTGTAACAAGCCGCAAATGATAGTTTTGATGAACTAAGAAGTGTCGCGTCAAGAATAACACTGGAAAGAAACATGTGCAATTTCGTTAATTTTAAAATAAAACGTGCAGTAAGTAAATACGCAATAACTTAATAGTTGACATGAAAAAATGAATATAAATATTATGCAATTGTTTGTTAAAGCATTAATTTTAAAATAAGTACAAACAATCGACACTAAGTAATTTCGGGACTAACATATAGTTCAATATTATTTCATTAACTTGCTTGAGCGAAGGGGTGTTTAACAGTGAGATGAAACCGGGGGACCCGAGAAAACCCACCTTGTTTGACAGACGACCATATCAAGTGGTAAGAGATAGATCTAGGTCATTTTGGGAATAAAATATGGTATAAGTTTGTCGCTTGGAAACCAACTGCAAAGCCAAAGAAGATGATTAAATAGAGTAGCAATCTAAAATCAATTTACCGGTTGTAAAGGGAGATAACTGTGTAAACATTTCAATTTTCTGCAAAATTTCGTATATTCGTTGCAGTAATTATACTAATGTGCTGTTATTTGACAATATTAGGTTGTTATTTGATCATATTTGGTAGTATTTGATGAGTATTTGGTAGTATCAGGTTATTATTAGCTTTTTTGGGGTGGCATAGGGAGGCAAATGGAACAGCCAAACATCGGTATCACATTTGAAGTACATTTCCCGCGATATAACTCTCTATTTTTGAAAAATAAATCAAATGATATGTCAATATTGCATCATTATGTTGTAGTATTGGGTAGTATGTGGTGATATTAAGATGGTATTGGGGTGGTACTGGGTAGTACTGGGTAGTATTGGGTAAATCGTCCCACCCGAATATGTAGGCTTGGTTATCCAACATGCAAGAATAGAAGCAAAAATTATTCAAATCAATTATTTCTAACTCCAGATATGGTCATTGAAAGTTTACATTGATTTAACACCACCATATGTTTCAGAAAAATAATGTAATTATAAGTCTATCTTAAAACATGCATTATGCAAGAGGTAAATCTGCCTATTGCAAGTCTTTCTTTAGGTCTGAAATGTTACATAAACTATTAATTAGACATTTGTTAACATGAAAAGACCATAATCAAGTCTGATTTTCATTAGATTTGAATCTGATCTACTGTTAAAAAAAACGTGTGAATGTATCACAGTTATACACTAATGATGGTTGAGTTAAAATTTAGTGAAAATCAGACAAAAATTGAACGTAAATAGTGTAAAAATATGGTATATCAAGGTTGTGGACCCTTTTAGAGACCACAGTTTTTAACCGATTTGGATGAAACTTTAAAGATAGGTTTTTATCATAAGGATCTTGGTTCCTGTTGATAATCACACACATCCGAACGTAAATTCCTGGATTATGGCCCCTGATTGGTCGAAAAATCGCATTCTCTAGAGATCACAATTTTTTTTCTGATTTAAAAAACCGTTTAGATATATCACCATTCCACCATAATGAAGGTTGAATTGGAATTTCGGGAAAATCGAAATGAAACTGCCGGACAAAATGGCCGCTCTTTGTATGCAAATTGTGTATAAGTATGTAATACAAAGGTTATGGACCCTCGAGAGGTCACAATTTTTATCCAATTTTGACATACTTAAAACATACCTTTATGTTCCAAAAATCTCAGTCCCTTTTGATATTTGCGCATTTAAGACCATAACTTTGCGTATTATGGCCCCTGATTATACAAAAACTCATTTTTGTTTTTAGCTTGTTCTCTATCCATCTCTTGCAAAATGTGGGCATATCCTGCCTGGCAGCTGCTGGTTAACTATTTATGGGAGCTGTAGATCTAAATAAAAACATAGAGCTTTTATTAATTTTTTTTTTTTTTTAAATGAAAAAAGGCTTAGCCTACTCTTTAAAAATATTTTGCTGGAAAATATCTCTGAATTTAAATTGGCCTCATTAAATTTTGAATTATTTCCAAATGGGCAGAACAACAAACAATTATTGTTTCACTTACCTTATTAATTAAATCAATAATCATTTCACACATCATCAGGAATTAATTATTTATGTGATGTTTTGATGTTTGATTAGCTTTGATACGCGCAAGTGAATTATTGAAATAAAATTCTACCATATGATAGTCCTGAAATAGCCTAGTTTGTGGCAAGTGGATGTTGAACCCCTTGACAACACATGACATATCTATATAGGATTTCGAGCTGTCATATGACCAAAAGTTGTTTGTGAGGTTGATGATTTTTGAACAGTGAAGGAATTGCATTTGAAATTTTTCTTCAAACACTTTCTCCATAAAAATGCAAGTCTGATGGCAACCACAGCCGACAAGGAGGATACGCCCACATTTTGCAAAAGATGGATAGAGAACAAGCTAAAAACAAACGCGATTTTTTGTACAATCAGGGGCAACAATCCAGAAAATTATGGCCTGAAATGCACAAATATCAAAAAGGCCTGAGATCTTTGGGATATATAGATATGTTTTAAGTTCCATCAAAATCAGATAAAAATTGTGACCTCTAGAGGGTCCACAACCTTCGCATACATACTTTTACACAATTTGCGTACAAACAGCGGCCATTTTGTCTGGCAGTTTCATTTCGATTTTCCCGAAATTTGAATTCAACCTTCATTATGGTGGAATGGTGATATATTTACATGCTAATTGCTATTAGTATTATTAGAAAAAAACAACATATGGTGTAGTAATATAGGCTAGGTATAGATTGTGTTTATTTTACTTTGGGCGCTTTTTCTTCAGTTATTTGTAAGCTAACAAATGTATATTATAAAATAAAATGTCTAACGAAACTTACGAATGAACTTATCTCCAAATTCTTAGAAAAAAGGTAGCAACCAAAAACACACGTTTTCACCATTTGCAGCCGACGTTGACTCGAGTCTGCATTTTTCTTTGTAATGAAACTTGGTACGAGATACTGGATAAGTTTGAATTTGAACCAGAAACATCTATTAATCACAGTTACAACAAAAGCTATGTCAAAAATATCTTGTGCATTGAATGGAGTCATTTTTTGTTGGTTTGTAATAAAACTTGGTATATGAGCCTGTTTTAAATAATCTTATTTTTCTGTGATAAGGGAATTGTTCGAATGTGAAGTAGATTTGTGAATTATTTGCAGCATTACCCTTGAGCTTAGCCAAAAATAGCTTGTGAATGCAATATAGGGTTCTTATGAAATTTTCTATATAGCTTTATACCCACAAGGTCTTGACCTTTTTCTAATTTGAATCCTTGCATTGGTGGAGAGAGTTCATCTGGATTTTCCGGGTGGTTCCTCCTTATCAGTGGTGTATGATGGAGAGTTTAACAAGGAACAAGGTATAGTCATTTGGATGGCACAAAACGCAGGTCCCATGGCATGCATGTAAAAGAGCCTTTGACAGTTGGAATTCGAAATAAGAGTAGGCCATAGTGCTGCTATCTGGGCAAAATTTCTCTCATAGCACACTGCACTGCGGTGCAGAAAAGTAGGACGTTGAACCCCTTTTCATTTCATTTATTTCTAAATTGTCAATAATTTCACTCCTGACTTGTTGATATATTTGCTTTTAGTGTAAAAGGTCAAGACCTCCAAACTAGTACTTTCATTTCTGAAACCTTCCAGTGGGTGACTGCCTGATTGACTTCCTGTATGGGCCATAATTTACGACCATTACTTTCATTTAACCTTTTGATATCTGCAGGTGAGGTTAGATTTATCTATGAATTATGTTGGTGTACCAGATTCTCCACCACCATCAGAAGGTAAAATAAAACAGTTATCTTGATTTGTTAAAAAGACTTTTGGTTAAAGATACATTATGTGAGATTTTTATAGAGAGTTGGCCATTCTTGCTATAACAGTTCAAAAGTAGATGATGAAAGAAGAATATATTGAAAAATTCAGTCAAATTACTTTATTCTGAACATAGTTATCATCGTTGTAATATTTGCCTAGAAATGGTAGCAAATTGTGTCTTCACCTTCGCTGATCGTTTGATTGACAGGCGTTAACTCCACCTACATATCTCGATTATCAAGTAAAGTTTTCAATGGCATACGGAAACGCTTTACAGCGGCCTCGCTAAGTACACTCTATCATTTAGCCTCGATCTAACAGACATATTTTCATCAGATTACCCCTTATCTGATTTAATCAATTAGTGAAATCCTATTTAAATCCAAGCTGTAGCCGAGCCATCCGTGGGTCTACAGAGTTGATTTTGGTCTTGTTGTTTAAATAAAGATCTAATTTATAATTTCTATAACATCTGAAGCCTAAATTAAGACTTGCAATAATCAGATTTAGCTCTTGCATAATGCATGTTTAACAGTATTTAAAACAATGTACACTGTAGCCTAGTGCCTCCAAAGGCTTTGACACAAAATTTATGTTGATAAATGTTTTGGCACAAGATCGAACAGGTCATGTCAAGCATAGTAATTATGTCCATTTCAGAAACATTTAATGATTTGTATATATTTACATTGGCTGTTGAATTATTTTAGCTGGTGATTTAGAAGGCGAGCCAGATGGGGATGCATGTGGTGATGAAACTAAGGTAGAAGGAGATGATGGGGAAGGTCCTAAAGAAAATGCCAGCAGTGAACAACCAGAAGTGATAGGTATTAATATCACATCATATTTAAAGGAATAATTAGACTTTCATACTTTCGTCTGAAAGACATTGTTTTTACTATATAATTATTATTTTTGTTATTATCCCGCGCCGAACGAAGTTAGGGAGGGATATTGAAATGGGGTTCGTCTGTCCAATTTCATTTCCGGAGCATATCTCATAAACAGTTCAAGATATCTTTCTACAACTTTGCACACACATCAACATATTACAGTAGTCGTGCCTTTTGCTATATAGGAATTTCTGGGATTTATATTTTTTGTGTTTCCATGGAAACAAATTTGACTTAGTTTTTGGTGTATAATTTTGTTTCCGGAGCATATTTTTCTGAAACTTTGCACACACATCAACCTATTACAGTAGTTGTGCCTTTTGCTATTTAGGAATTTCTGAGATTTATATTTTTTGTGTTTGCATGGAAACAAAAATGACTTAGTTTTTGGTGTACAATTTTGTTTCCGGAGCATATCTCATAAATCGTTCAAGATGTCTTCATGGCACTTATTTTGAATTTCTCAGATTTGATAATTTTATGTGTTTCCATGGAAACACATTTGACTGTTCAAGATACCTTTAAAATAATTTTACCCATTATTTTATTTTCTGAAATCCAGCCTTCCATCCTGATTTTGTTTCTGGAGCATATTTTATTATCTGTTCAAGAAATCTTTTTGAAACTTTGTACAAACATTAACCTATTATAGTATTTTATTTTCTGATGTATAAGTTTATTGTTTAAAATGCAGCAGCTAATTGAGGTAGGCAAAGGTTGTTGTGCAAACCTTTCAGGGAGTAGCGACCCTGCCTTGCAGAACTACTGTGATCAGAGTATGAAATTCTGTGAATTAATATTCCATGTGTCGGAATATGAGATTTGTCTAAAGCTCCAGTTCCCTCCACTTGCAAAATATCTCTATTTTCTATGTAGTCATGTCTAATTTTTAAAACCAGAGCTTAATGTCATAAATTATCTCAAATCTTCTAGTAAATATCAATCAGTCATTTGTTTTCAGAAATAGAGAGCAATATCTACTAAACAGGGCCACAATATTAGGACCAGTGACACTGTTTGTGAAATCTGATACATTTTTATATTGATTACCAATAGCATAAACAAGTTATTTTTCCTTATTTCTTCCAAACAAGTGCAAGGGCGCAGGATGTTGATGACTAGTCATCTTGTTATTTTTTATCCCAGTATAACAGATACCGATGTGGGATCTAATGTTATGTTGGTAGACCATGTGGTGGTTATTCCATAAACTAGTTTTTAAACTTCTGCGCAGACTGGAAGTGGCCGAATTTTTAACAGTAGCAAAAAATTAAAAATCAGCCATCTTTTCGTCAATTCTTTACTCATTTTCAAACAAATGACATTTTTGGAAACCCTGAATCTTTTCTGAGACAAAGGCTATCTCACATTTTTCAATTTTAAACATTCGTCCACGACTTCTATCATTCGAAAATTGAAAACACATTTACGAGACAATTTTTTTTATTTTTCAAAATTTTAAAATTTGACCTACGTTTTTGGATACCTAAAGTACACCTTATTCCAATAATATAAGTTTCATTCAGAGTTATCGCCATTAATTTTCTATCCATTTTCTAACCCTTATATTTTTTTGAAAGCCTCAATCGATGTTTCTAAAACTTCTTGATCATGAAGTCATACCCTCAAACCATCTGTTGAAGTTATCCCGACAAGGATCCGTTAAACGGAAGTAGTTGAAAAATTGTCCGTTATTTTAAAAAAAAATGCAAAAAATGGATGCTTTGGAGGAAAAACACAACTTCCACGTCCGATATCTATGGATTAAACAAATTAAGGTATGATTTGGTGGCGCGATGAACGAACTACTGTATGAATTCCAATTGCCACAGATCCGATGTTATGGAAGACAAATATGGTACTCCGAATATCAAGTATTTTCCGATTTGGGTTGTTTTTTGACGCTTTTTCTCTAAAATACTCCTGTGATTCATTTTCAAACTTTCATTATTGAGAGTCCCTACAGAGGTATTGTGCATAAAACAGTCCAATACGACGGCGATATCACTAAAATTGGACAAAAATAGGACTGCAAGAGATGGATAGAGAACAAGCTAAAAACAAACACGATTTTTTATACGCCCACATTTTCATGTCCACGTATACTGTCATCTCCCCTGTCCGTCCGGACGTCTGTCTGTCTGTCCGTCCGTCCACAATTTGTTTGTGGACACTCTACAGGTCACAATTCTTATCCGATTTTAACAAAAGTTGAAATATAGGTTTACCTCCAAAAGATCTTGGCATGTATCGGATCAATACTTCATGGATTATGGCCCCTGATTGTACAAAAAAACACGTTTTTAGCTTGTGGACACTCTAGAGGTCACAATTTTTATCTGATTTTGTTGAAATTTAAAATGTATGTTTATAACCCAAAGATCTTGTTTTTTTCCATATTCGCGCATATCGGACTGTACCTTCCTGAATTATGGGCCCTGATTGTACAAAAAATCACGTTTTTTAGCTTGTGGACCCTATATGGAGGTCAAAATTTTATTCCGATTTAAAAAAACGTTTGAATATATCACTGTTACACCTTAATGATGGTTGAGTTCGAAATTCGTGAAAATCGAACCAAAATAACTGCCAGACAAAATTGCCGCCCCTCGAACGCAAACAGTGTAAAAATATTGTATATCAAGGTTGTGGACTCTCTAGAGGTCACAATTTTGATCTGATTTTAATGAAACTTGAAATGCATGTTTATAACCCAATATTCTTGGTTCCTGTCGTTATTTGCATATATCTGATCGTACCTTCCTGAATTGGGGCCCTTGATGTTACGAAAAATCGCTTTTTGTTTAGCTTGTTCTCTATCCATCTCTTGAAAAATGTGGGCGTATCCTGCCTGGCAGCCACTGATTGTACAATCAGGGGCAATTATCCAGAAAGTTATGGTCTGAAATGCACAAATATCAAAAGGGACCGAGATCTTTGGGATATAGATATGTTTTAAGTTTCATCAAAATCGGATAAAAATTGTGACCTCTAGCGGGTCCACAACCTTTGTATACATACTTTTAAAAAATTTGCGTACAAAGAGCGTCCATTTTTGTCGGGCAGTTTCACAATTTTGATCTGATTTTAATGAAACTTGAAATGCATGTTTTTAACCCAATATTCTTTTTGTTTAGCTTGTTCTCTATCCATCTCTTGAAAAATGTGGGCGTATCCTGCCTGGCAGCCACTGATTGTATAATCAGGGGCAATTATCCAGAAAGTTATGGTCTGTAATGCACAAATATCAAAAGGGACCGAGATCTTTGGGATATATAGATATGTTTTAACTTTCATCAAAATCGGATAAAAATTGTGACCTCTAGAGGGTCCACAACCTTTGTATACATACTTTTACAAAATTTGCATACAAAGAGCGTCCATTTTTGTCGGGCAGTTTCATTTCGATTTTCGAATTCAACCGTCATTATGGTGGAATGGTTATATATTTAAACTTTTTTTAAAATCTGAAGAAAAAAAAACTGACCACCAGAGATTGGTTAACACGTGCGCGCTGTATCATAAAGCCTGTCATTGAGTCAACTGGCGTGGTTTCGAATCCCCGGTTGTACGTGACAAGGAGTAGGGTCGCCTGTCCAACCTCGTGGGTTTTCCCACTGCTAAAGACCCCTATGCGCAATCGAACTATTGAAATAAGATTAAACATATGTTAGTCCCGAAATGACCTAGTTTGTGTGGAGTGAACATTAAACCTCATTTCTCTCTCTCTGTGTACAATCAAGGGCCATAATTCAGGAAGTTATGATCCGATATGCTAGAATATCGAAAGGAACCATGTGTTTCAAGTTTCATAAAAATTGTGACCTAGAGGGTCCAGAACCTTGATATACCAGATTCACACTATTTACGTACAAGGGGCGGCCATTTTGTCCGGCAGTTTGGGCCCAATTTTCATGAAATTCGAACACAACCGACATTATGGTGTAACGGTGATAGATTCGAATGGATTTTTAAATCGGATAATAATTGTGACCTCTAGAGGGACCACAAGCTAAAAACGCGATTTTTCGTACAATCAGGGACCATAATTTAGGAATTTTTGATCTGATATGAGCAAATATCAAAAGGAACCAAGATCTTTGGGTTAAAAACATGCATTCAAAATCGGGTGAAAATTGTGACCTCCAATCTGATTAAAACACAGATCCTATTTCGTTTTTTATAGTTCAAAATTTTGTTTTACTTGTCTTTACTACACTAGGATTTGGAAGAGTTGTTATATTACCGGCGTTTTGGTTAAAGTGAGGGATTTGTCAATGAAACGGTGTGCTACGGCAAATTCTTGGCGTGGCATGAACAGGACTTTGGGTAAACCACTAGAAATGTTAAGGCTGATTGATTAATCTATTTCTGACCTCGTAGGGTCAAAAGCCATTTGTACGACCCCTGATGTGACCTTCCAGTACAATATGTCAATGTCAGATCTTTATGTAGTGTAGACCATCGAAAGTATAAAAAAAAACGAAACGAAATATAGATCTGTATTTTAATGAGATTGTTATAACTTCTAGAGTGTCCACAAGGTAAAAACAATCAGGGGCCATAATCCATGAAGTTATTGTCCGATACATGACAATATCGAAAGGAACCAAGACCTTTGGGAGATAGACCTGTATTGTAAGTTTTGTCAAAATCGGATAAAAATTGTGAGCTGTAGAGTGTCTACTAACAAATTGTGGACGGACAGGGGCGACGGCATAATATATTCAGATAGCTGACCCAATTACGATTCTAACGATGTATAATGTGTATTGAGTTATTGAAATTAAATTTTTGATATTTTTGCATTTTTAGCACCTTGAACATACGATATCTCAAGGAGATTTAAACTGATCAGATAATGTAATATATCATTATAGAGCCATGGTACCATACAAGTGCCAAAATTGGTTGTTAAAAACTATCCCGACAATGATCTCCATACAATGAAAAACAAAGGTTAAACAATTGGCGCTCTTGGGAAAAACATGATTTCTCCGTCAGATGTCACCGCATCAAAACAACTAAAGTGTCGTTGAATAGTCCCATCAATGGACTATCATATGGCATCCAAATGACACAAATTCAATAGTTAAGAAATAAATTATGGTACGCCGAAAATCTAGTATTTTCCAATTTGGAGCCCTTTGAGACACTTTTATCTCGAAAACTACGACTATTTATTTTCTTAAAATTCTGTTACTCAAGAGTCCTATCGGTGGTCTAGGATGTTAATCCAAATGTAAAATCCTCTAAATGAAATAAGTAGTCGAAAAAGGGTCTCAATCTTTGAACCAGCGGCTGCCAGGCAGGATACACCCACATTTTCGAGAGATGGATAGAGAACAAGCTTAAAAGAAAGTGATTTTTCGTACAATCAGGGGCTATAATTCAGGAAGTTACGGTCCGATATGCGCGAATATCGAAAGGAACCGAGATCTTTGGGTTATAAACTTACATTTCAAGTTTCATCAAAATCTGATAAAAAATTGTGACCTCTTTAGGGTGCACAACCTTGAAATACCATATTTTTACGCTATTTGAGAACGAAGGGCGGCCATTTTGTCTGTCAGTTTTGGACCGATTTTCACGAATCTTCTGACTGAGTCGTCCTTAGGGTGTAACGGTGATATAATAATACGTTTTTTTAAATCGGATAAAAATTATAACCTCTATAGGGTCCACAAGCTAAAAATGTGATTTTTCGTACAATCAGGGGCCATAATTCAGGAAGTTACGGTCCGATATGCGCGAATATCGAAAGGAACCGAGATCTTTTGGTTATAAACTAAAATTTCAAGTTTCAACAAAATCGGATAAAAATCGTGACCTCTAAAGGGTCCACAACCTTGATATACCATATTTTTAGGCTATTTGAAAACGAATGGCGGCCATTTTGTCTGTCAGTTTAGGGGCGATTTTCACGAAATTCGAACTCAGACGTCCTTAGGGTTTAACGGTGATATAATAATATGGTATTTTAAATTGGATAAAAATTATGACCTCTATAGGATCCACAAGCTAAAAACATGATTTTTCGTACAATCAGGGGCCATAATATGCGCGAATATCGAAAGGAACCGAGATCTTTGGGTTATAATCATACATTTTAAGTTTAAACTAAATCGGATAAAAATTGTGACTCTACAGTGTTCACAAGCTAAAAACGTGATTTTACGTACAATCAGGGGCCATAATCCATGAAGTTACAGTCCGATACATGCCAATATCGAAAGGAACCGAGATCTTAGGGTGATAAACCTATATTTCAAGTTTCATTGAAATCGGTTAAAAATTGTGACCTGTAGACAGTTCACAAACGGACGGACGGACAGGGGCGACGACAATATACGTCCACAGGAAAATGTGGGCGTATAAAAATTGTTCAAAACGGCTAAATGGATGTTTCTGAAACTTCTGATGCAGAAAGTTAAGTGCCAATACCACATGTTAATACTATCCCAACAATGATTCGTAAACCAGAAGGAATCAAAAACATATCCCGATATTTTGAATAAAATGCAAAAAAAATGAAGATTTTTGCAAAAAACTAGATTTCTCCGTCGGATATTACCAGATCAAAACAGCTAAGGTATTGTAAGATAGCCCGGTGAATGGACTCTCGTATAATAATAATAACTAGATCTGCCAGGCAGAAATGAAAGGTTTCATATTCACGGTCACTTCCTGTCACGTCATGGGTTATATAAAGAATCTTAAGAAAAAATAATTATTAAAATCGCTCAAAAATTCGCGAAGTTATAAGCTTAAATATAGCGAGAAACATTTCAGTGGGGCGAAAAAATAATCTGAAAAATAAAAGGAAATAACCAGGGCTCACACTGGCTTTCAATTTTTTTCCGCCAATTTTTTTATATAAAAAAATGTTCATATTTTTTTTCCGCCAACTGGAATATTTTATCTGTCAAAAATTTGTGATAAAAAAAACAACATCTAACTATCTTATGTCTCAGCTAGGCTTATTAATATTCTAAAACAATTACCGATATATACAATACAATATCCAACATTATCACAGTTTGGATTTAATAAGATCCTTTATTTTCAGTATTTACACGTCAGATCTCATTCAAGGATTACCAATTTTCTATAAATTTATGTGTTGCGTGTACAATAGGCCTATAGTTATTTTTAGGGATCACGTGGCTAAGTGGGTAAGACGCTAGCTCGCTAGCCTGGAGGTCGGGTGTTCTATCCCTGCATTGGCCGAGAAAGTTCATCCAGTTTTCCGGTGTGGTTCTCCCTTGTCAGTGATGCAGGACGGGAGGGGCTGACAAGGAAAGCTGTCTAGTCGTTCGGATGGGACGGAAAATCAAGGTCCCGTGTACACATTGGCGTGCACGTAAAAGATCCCTTGGCAGTTGGAATTCGATATAAGAGTAGGCCGTAGTGCCGCTGTCCGGGCAAAATTTCCCTCATAGCACACTGTATGGCCCGTCTTCATTAGCCCAGGTTAGAAGCAGAACAGTAGGACATTAAACTCCATTTCATTTCATTTCATTTCAGGTACCGTAAAGGTATCAGAATCTGAATCCCTGATAGAATGATATAAATTTCAATTATATTTGTAAGAGATGCTTACAGTTATACCTGTCATTCACCTTTAGAGCATTTTGGCGACGCTAATATGATACATATGGCGAAATGATTTCTCGCTCAAGAATCATCGCTATTCAACTCTTTCTTACGTTTTCGACCAGTGGTGATGATATAATTTGAAATAATGATATCCGATCACCGCTTAGATTAATCATTAGGAGTAAATAATTACTTGAGATAGTCTTTATATACATCATTAGCAATTATCAATCAACTAATCATTAATCCAAGACAACTGATTAGTATTACTCATTGACGCAATCCCGATTATCAGCCAGTTGATTAATTTATAGTATTCCGCCACGTGATTGACACTCAATTAATGGTTAATCCAGGATAAATACCGCAAAACATTATCGCCAAAATCAAATTTTAATCGCCACTTTCATATTTTTATCGCAAATTGCGACTTTGGCGACTGACAGCATGAGCCCTGGATAGTGGAAATAACTGAGACTTGTATTCCTGTAATCCGATTGACTTCCAGTTCGAGAAAAATTGATCAAGCTGTTTAAAAATGAGACGGATCAGAAATTGAAGCGAAAATGGCGGGAAAAAGCTAAAAAATGGCGGGAAAATATTGAAAAATGAAATATAATTTTTAATTGAATTTAATGTTTTTTAGAATCGGTGTTATCTACCTTGTGTTGCAAAGCCGTAAAAGTGGATTTTTCACTCGTAAACAACTTTGTTGGCACGAAAAACTTATGTATTTTTTAAATACCAAAGGTTTGTCAATGAGCCAGGCTATCCACAAATGTATTATTTCAAAAATAGGAGACAAATTCAACAAACAAACGTTAACCACCCCCTATTGTGTAATTAATTTGACAAAAAACATCATTTTTGGACCTTTTTATTCCTGAATACAAATGATAGTAGTCTGGAACCATATTAAAACTAACGGTAAATAGAGTTGTCTCCCTTCAATTAGATTTCCTCGACCAGGCGTAATATAACGTCCTACACATGCTGCGATCGTATGTTCGAAGGATAAGTTGGGGAAAATACCTCCAAGGCGTTATATTACGCCCTACACACGGTGAGTGGCAGTTGTCCAGGACGTTATATAACGCCCTACGCATTTAACGGGCTAATGTAGATTTTTTACAATTTTTCATATTCAATCCCAAATGGTGACTATCAATTGACCAAAATCAAAATTTTTCTCCATAGATTTTTAGGCATTCCTTCAAAGATTCAGAAAATATAACACTCATGTCTGTAAGTAAAATATCGCAAAAGTCTTAGGGATTTGTCACGTTTCAAGATGGTGGCACTTCCAGTCTGATTGACAAACTCCATATTTTGTGTACGCATCAGTAATTTCTTAGCTAGTACAGAAAAAAATTCAAGGCAAACTGACCTATATTTTGTTGATTTTTTTGATCCTTAATTTACTCAAGGGGAGATAAGTTACAAAAGTTTCAGAAAGATCCTATGCCTATGGTTAGATTCTGAGATATAAGATTTATGGGGAAAAAAAATAATAATCTTAACAGAAACAATAAGCTTTTTTTTATTATTATATATGTAATAATATGAAAGCGTAATATATATAATGACTTTATTTAAGAAGGGTTGAAGATTAGTCCGATTCCTTCTGGTCTGTCTCCTGAAAGCTGGTTCAGCACAGCCATGCAGGTCTAGTTCTATTCATGTCTTCATATTTAGCATACCATTGAATCCATTGACTACCTGTTGGTAGTGGGTCACATGATATTGAAAAGGTGACAGAAGTTCAAAGGTCACAATGGTAAAAGGTGGCTACTCCAAAAAATGTGAAGGTACATGTTTATCCCAATGCCAACATCTGAGACCTTATTAAATAATATTATTATTTACTTTATTCTCTCCTGTATTTCAGAAGAATCTCCAGCGAGAAAAGAATTAAGAACAATGATTCAAACATTTTTGGCAGAGGAAATAAAGAAAATGAAAATATCTGTTGATGAACAAATTAAAACCACGGAAGAAGTCATACAACATAAAATAGAGGCAGTTGATGGAGGAGTTACAAAAAAAAGTCCAAGAGCCTCAGCAAAAGGGAAGAGAAAAGAGAAAAATTAATTTAACTACAATTCCTCCGAGAAATATTTAATAACTATGATATATGTACATATGATTCTTAATATTAACTTTAGTAAAATTTACAAATTAGTTAATATTTCAAGATATTTTCTGTCGTTTGATTGGTTGGTTATTATCAGCCCCCATTTCCTCATCTTCATCATGAATCAAATCTCTTATGCCACCTACCTTTAATATAGAAATTAACACAATATTTTGAAGAAGGCTTGCAAAACTAATATATTTGATATATTATACTTCTGTTCTATTGTTTCCCCTTAGACCACGGATTTCAATTCTCATTGTAATACAATTCAAAATTCATTTTGTGACATAGCTTCCAATACATGATGTTGTGTCAGTCCGGAAAACTAAAGGAGAGATAACCCCACTATCTGTATCTCCTTAGACACCAGAGATGTTCATATTTGGATATGGACCGAGATCCCCATTAAGTTCTCTCATTTGGTTTGTTACCCATGAATTTATTGCTTTCTATTTGTGCCCCCCACCTCCCCCGTTTGTATTGCGTTTTTTGTTGCCTTTGTGTTGTAGAAACGAAGAAGAGGGTTTTGATCTACATTTTCTGACAGGTTTTGGTGATTATTCATGATTTAACAGGTTGGTTATAATTTGAAATGTAGGGCGGATAGTTACATGTTACTAGTATGATACAAGCGCTCAAAATTTTCATGGTGAACCTCAAAGAGTTAGAAAGCATTGAACCGAACGAAAATTTGAGAAAAAAATTTAAGGATAAAGTCGTTCAAAGCGACGAGAATTAAGATTAAAGTCAGTAGGGGGGGGGGGGGGGGAATAAATGGTATATCAAGGTTGTGGCTCCTCTGATCCGATTTTGATGAAACTTGAAATACATGTTTATAACCCAAAGATCTGGGTTCCTTTCAAAATTCGCACATATCAGATCATAACTTCGTGAATTATGGCTCTTGAGTGTGGTCACTCTAGAGCCGGTAGAGGTAACAATTTTTATCCGTTTTAAAAAAACGTTTGAATATATCACCGTTACATCGTAATGATGGCTGACTTCGAATTTCGTGAAAATCAGACAAAATGGTCGCCCCTCGTACGCAAATAGTGTAAACATCTGGTATATCAAAGTTGTGAACCCTCTAGAGGCCACAACTTTGATCCAATTTTGATGAAACTTGAAATGCAAGTTTATAACCCAAAGATCTCGGTTCCTTCCCATATTTGCGCATATCGGTTCCTAACTTCCTGAATTATGGCCTCTGATTGTATGGAAAAGCACGTTTTTAGCTTGTAGTCCCTCTAGAGGTCAAAATTATTATCCGATTTAAAAAAAAAAGGATCGAAGATATCACCGTTACACCGTAATGTTTGTTGAGTTCGAATTTAGTGAAAATCGGTCCAAAACTGCTAGGCAAAATGGCCGCCCCTCGTACGCAAATAGTGTAAACATCTGGTAAATCAATTTTGTGGACCTAGAGGTAACAATTTTGATCCGATTTCGATGAAACTTGACATACATGTTTATAACCCAAAGATATTGGTTCCTTTCGATATTTGTGCATATTGGATCATAACTTCCTGAATTATGACCCTTGATTGAACAAAAAAATTCACGTTTTTGGCTTGTGGTCCCTGTAGAGGTCACAATTTTTATCCGATTTAAAAACGTGTGAATATATCTTGGTTGCTTTTCATACTTGTGGATACCCAAACTTAACTTCCTGGATTATGGCCCCTGATTGTTTGAAAAAATTGCATTTTTAGCTTGCGGATTCTCTAGAGGTCACAATTTTTTTCCGATTTTAAAAATTGTTTAAATACATCACCATTCCACCATAATGAAGGGTGAATTCAAATTTCGGGAAAATCGAAATGTCACTGCCCGACAAAATGGCCGCTCTTTGTACACAAATTGTGTAGAAGTGTGTAATACGAAGGGTGTGAATCCTCTAGAGGTCACAATTTTTATCCGATTTTGATGAAACTTAATTCAGAATAAACCTGCTTGACAAAATCGTCGCCTTTTGTACCAAATAGACATATATGTTATATCAAGGTTGTGAACCCTCTAGAAGTCACAATTTTTATCTGATTTTGATGAAACTTTAAATGCATGATAACAACCCAAAGATCTTGGTTCCTTTCAATATTTACGCATATCGGACCGTAACTTCCTGAAATAAGGCCCCCGGATTATACGAAAAATTGCGTTTTTAGCTTGTGGCCCCTCCAGAAGTCACAATTTTTATCCGATTTAAAAAAAACGTTTGAATATATTATTATCACCGTTACACCCAAATGATGGTTGAGTTCAAATTTCATGAAAATCGGACTAAAACTGCCGGACAAAATGGCCGCCCCTCGTACTCTCTAGAGGTCACAATTTTGATCCAATTTTGTTGAAATATTATATTCATGTTTTATAACCCAAAGATCTTGGTTCCTTTCGATATTTGCGCATATCCGAACGTAACTTCCTGGATTATGGCCCCTGATTGTTCGAAAAATCATATTATTAGCTCGTGGACCTGCTAGAAGTCACAAAATGTGATTTTTCATACAATCCATGAAGTTTCGATCCGATACATGCTAATATCGAAAGGAACTGAGATCTTTTGGAGATTAACCTATATTTCAAGTTTTGTCAAAATCGGATAAGAATTTTGACCTGTTGAGTGTCCACAAACAAATTGTGGACGGACAGGGGCAACGACAAAATACGTCCACATGAAAATGTTGGCGTATAAAAATTAACAGTATGCATAACTCACTGTAATTTGATAGGGGACGTCCTTTTCTTTTCTTGACGGTGATTTGTATAAAAGAGCATATCGTACATTACCAACCCAGTGTAATATTAATCTGATAGTACTGGCATGACCCCAACTCTCTCCTAGGGCTGGTACTAAATGTGATTGACCCGATGACCCTGCACCGCTTCTTACCTTTGTTGTCATCTGATTGGTTAAAACTATCTGAAACAAACATTGACCACATGTCATGTATTAATTTTGAAAATGAGGTTAGTTGGATAATTTCCTCATGGTTGATGGTAAGCAAACAGAAACTGCATCTGCAAGCGAAATGTGAACTGAATGTTAACTCATTTAAACCAACAGTACATTATAACTGAATAAGACTTTTTTCAAACTACTGTAGCTCTTTTTTGAGTTGGTAGATTTATACTGTAGTTTAGATTACTTCCTGCTCTAAATTTACATAATTAATTTAATCAATAAAATACATACAGCTAATTTATAATTGGTGGCCATTTTTATAAAATTTTGTGCCATGGCTGTTAGTAATCGGGTTCTCAGTGATAAATCCTCAAAATCATGTCGAAAATGGAATGCAATACTGTCAACTACAACCAATTTAACCTGAAATTAACATTTCGATGCAAATCAAAATTTTATATAATATTCTGAAGTTAGGATGACTAGTTGGTTTTTGTGACTATCTGATGACTGGCTGCACTGTCATAGCATGGGTAATAACCCTTTAGCACTTTGTGCATGTCAATATTGACTACCCTAGTGTCTCTGAAGAAAATTAGAGATAAAGATAGGTTGCCAGGCAACAAAATATACACCCACAGCAGCTAAATCATCCGGGCAGTCAACAAGTGTTGTCGCATATTTTACTTTTTTCGGTAATGAAACATTTATAATACACTCAAATCTGATTAAGAGTAACAACTCATGAAGTAATTATCAAAAAACCATTAGAATTTGTTTGGTTTTTATAAAGTTCTGCCCTATGCCAACGCTTAGTATACAAAACTTTTAATATCATGGATTTAGCTGTTCAAGTCATAAAAATTTACTTGTTCGTATCAAGATCTTAAACTCTGTGTATCAATCTGAAGTCAATCGGGTGATAACTTTAGCCTCTAGAGCATCACATGATTTTTCAAAGTGATCAAGGGCCATAACTTTGGCAGAAATTATTGGAAATCTTTGAAAATCAATAGGATTCTTCGTCTCATGACACTGTGTATAAATTTAAAGTCAATCAGATATTAACTTTAGCCTCTAGAGCATCCACAAGATTTTTTGAAGTGATCAAGGGCCATAACTCTGGAAGTACATGTAATTATCGAAAATCGCTGAAAATGAATAGACTCTGGCAATAATTATCTGAAATCGCGAATAATCAATAGGCTTCTTCGTCTCATGACCTTAAACACTGTGTATAAATTTAAAGTCAATCGGATATTAACTTTGACCTCTAGAGCGTCCACAAGATTTTTTGAAGTGATCAAGGGCCATAACTCTGGCAGTAATTATCTGAAATTGCTGAAAATCAATAGGCTTCTTCGTCTTATGACCTTAAACACTGTATATAAATTTAAAGTCAATCAGATATTAACTTTAGCCTCTAGAGCTTGTGGACGGTGCACCGACGGACGGACGGGGGCGACGACAATATACGACCACATTTCAATGTGGGCGTATAAAAAGTGGTATAAACCAACTCAAACCACCCAAGTCATGTAAGTAACTCTACATATAATGTAGGGTTGTTTACTAGTTCTTCAGAACACCACAGCTATTCACATGACTCGCGTGTTTTGGAGCACTCTAGGGAGCACTACTTATGGGTGGTTTTTGGTCAGTCAAAGTGATGAAGGGTTAATGACGGGTTAACTGTCAATGAAATACATCTTAAAGATTCTAACACAAGATAGACTAACTTGTCATTAAACACTTACCAACATTATTTTCACATCATACCTGTTTATGTTCTTTCAAAAAATCAGGTAAAAGTTGAATATTTGCTAATAGTTCGATATAATCATGACATCGGAAATAATGAATACCCTTTAATACATTCTCTAATCTGAAATCTTTTAATTCACTAACATCATCTATAACAAACAAAATATAATACAAAAATATCTGAATACAGAAATATAATACATAGATATCTGAATACAAAAATATAATGCATAAATATCTGAATAAATGATTGTTTTTGGATAAAGAAATAATTTTTTGTTCATAAATTGTTTGGAGCAGAAAAGTAGGATGTTAAAAACCTCATTTCATTTCTTCAAATCTGGTCTATCCTTCCCTAACATACCTTGATTTTGCTTAAGCATAAAGTTACAATGTTGAATAGTTGCATCTGCTATATCTACTAATCTCTCAACAATAAAACTACCCTCAGTATCAATATAAACAGCTTGACCTTCAACACCACCTAAACATTGCGGCATCTGTACATCAACACATAGTTGCATACTGAAAGAGACATGGAGACAATACCATTTCAAATGGACAGTGTTGGAAAATAAATTCACAGAAAAAAAAAGTATTGGATCTGATCACATACATTTGTGTTTAAAGGCACATCGCTAGATCATTCTCACATACATGTACTAATGTAATGTAAATATTGTCCTTCTCCAGTAAATGGCTTCATTTATGTAATTAACACATCAGAGCAGTAATTCTCAACTTGACTAAAATTACTAAAATGATAGATTTATTAGATTACAAAATTTGCCTAGGACTCAAAAATATGGAGGTGTGAAATCAATAGAATGGACTGATTTAAAAACTTTTTTAACCAAAATCTTTCTTGAAGATGCATTATGTAAGATTTAGATAAAGAGCTGACAGTTCTTGCTGTAATAGTTAAAAAATAGATAATGAAAGGGAATGAAAATTTCTGTCAAATTACTTCATTCTGAGTGAAGTAATGACTGTTTGGAGAAAAGCGTGGTCTCAATTTTCATTGCTACGATAATAAAAAAAAAGCCTTAATTATCCATTTTTAAATTAAATGGCAATTGTGTTTCAATCCGTTCAAAATCACAACCATCCGATATTCTAGAGAGTTGATTATGTGCTTGTTGAGAATAAATGTCCAATTAATAATTTATATAACATTTGAGACCAAAAGAAAGATCTGTAATAGGCAGATTTGGCTCTTACATAATGAATCTTTAATATTAGTACCGGTAGTTTTAATTCTGGCATGTTTGGGCTTTTATAATTAATTCTTTTAGAAAATCCCAATTACTGACTAGACCTGCAAGCAGCACTGAACCGGTTTTCAGGAAGGAGTCAGGAAGAGTGTCATACAATAGCCCATACATCGAGCTACCAAGCGATACTTTAGTTGTTTTGATCTGGTGACACCCGACGGAGAAATCAAGATTTGCGCAAGAGTACCTATTTTTTACTGGTTTTTTTTCAAATATCGAATATTTTTTCAACTACATCCAGTTTACAGATCATTGTTGGGATAGATTTAACAAGTGGTATGGGAACTTAACTTCCTGTACTAGAAGTTTCGGAAACATCCATTGAGCGGTTTAAAAAAAAAAGAGAAAATTAAAAGAGCATTTCCATTAATTTAACGATTTTTTAAACTTTTTTCAAAGATTGAGGCCCTTTTTGGACCCTTTATATCATATTGAGGCTTTTAAATTTAAATTCACACCCTAGACCACCAGGACTCTGAGTAACAGAAGTTTAAGAAAAGAAATAAGAGTAGTTTTCGAGATAAAAGCATCTGAATAGGCTCCAAAAAGGAAAATACTACATTTTCAGCGTCCCATAGTCTATTGCCTAACCATCGAATTTGTACCATTTGGATGTCAAAAGATCGTCCATTATTCGTGCTATCCAATGACACTTTAGTTGTTTTGATTATTTGAAATCTGGTGTAGTAATCACTTTTTTACTATTTTTTTTCCAAAATATCAGATATTTTTTCGACTACTACTACGTTTTTCCCAATACCATCGATTTTATGCTTTTTTTCAAAATATCAGACAATATTTCGACTACTTCCAGAATATTCGAACGATAGAAGTCAACAACAAAGTTTCTAAATTGTAACATGTGAGATTGCTATTGTTTGGGAAAAGGTTCAGGGATTACGGAAATGTCTTTTGCTTGAAAATTGGTAAAGAATTGACAAAACTACAGCTGATCTTCAATTTCGAGGCACTGTACAAAATTCGACCACTTTTGGCATGCACAGAAGTTTCAAAAATATTTTATCAAGTAGCCACCAACCAGTTTCCCAATAGAAAATTAGGTCCCAGATCGGTATCTGGTCTTGATCATGATAAAATAGGCTCCTACAGTAAATAATAAATAATAATAATTTTAGTAATAACAATAGTCTTTCAGACAAAGTCTGAAAGCCTAATAATGTCATTACAAGAGGACATTCCAATTTTTAGTATAAAAAGTTAAGAGTCATTAGTTTTTTCACAAATGAGGCTCAGTTCCTAGATTCATCAATCTATTAGAGAAAATGTATGTGTTTCTAAATACAATATATCTATTCCAGATGCCAAAATACACAGTGTGCCAGGTGGCTAATTGTCAGTTTCTGCTGAAAGGCTTAGATAGTCATCTTGATCTTTATATGACCTCAATGTTCATGGACTAAAACAAGTTCTATTTGTACCTGGCTAATGTTCTAAGAAAGAAAATGATGATGTCATGAAATCAATAGAAAGTAATACTTTAGATACCCATAACTTGGTAGGATCGATTAATATAAATAATGATTGGACCAATGTGCTCTTTAATAAGACCACTTTGTAATGTACATAAATTGGAAGTCTATATTTTTCTTTTAATCATGCATATTGTGCCTTTAAGGAATGAATTTTGATAAACTCTTTTACATATTCTCATAGAGGCTAATAATACCAATACTGCCAATACCACATTTGTGTCTTCCCGATTCCTGGTGCTCCACAAAATTCTGTCATTTTACATAATGGTACCCCTCCACCGAGCATGTCATCTATCTGCTGACAGAACGTTATAATATTTGGCTGATTCTGTTCTGTGTGTAGAATTTCTAAGGCTGACTGTGTTTTAGGACTTTTAGATTGACGACCTGTTGGATCACTGTCATTCTCTGTCACTGTTTTAATCACCTCCAGAGCATCTTCTAAGGACAGCCCTGTTTCTACAAAAAAATATATTAAAAAACCTGATAATAAAGATAGGTTGCCAGGGAAATGCTAACAGGAGCTAGGTCATCCAAACATAAAAATTGTCACATTTTTATTCTACTGAGCATTTACAAGATACTTAAAGGACAATATTGGTGTCAGTCATTATCACATATGTGATAGAACTGGTTAAACACGTTCCAAATTATTGTTAAAATTATATTTGGAACGTGTTTAACCAGTTCTATCATATATGTGATAATGACTGACACCAATATTGTCCTTTAAAACTGATTAAGTGCAACAACCCATGAAGTACCCTAATTATCAGAATAATTAAACTTTGATGGCTTCTTCCATGAGCTAACATACACCAAACATATACTGGTAATTTCCAGACATATCATGAACATAAACACTGTATTGATTTCAAATCAATTGGAATTTACTTTATCCTCCAGATAAAGTGTACACAAGATTTTTCAAAGTGGTCAAGGACAATAACTTGAACAGTAATTACTGGGGGAGGGGGGATTTGAAGTAAGACCCAGGAAAGAATTGTGATGTGAGCTGATCATTTGGAAGATTAAAATGTACTTATTATTTTTAAAAAAAATTCTTTATCACGCTCTGCACCCATTCTTGACTGTCAACTTGTCGGCAATCATGTGTGAGATTAAAATAATTATTTTTAAAATAAATTTTGACCATTTACATTATAACCATTCTTTGTTTAGATCATTTCTTTGGGTGCCATGCCAATGGTATGATGCTCGGCTCCATTACATTATGTGTTATGATACTTAAAGATACATTATGGGAAATTAGATAAGGAGCTGGAAGTTCTCACTATAATAATAGTTAATAACTAGATAATGTAAAGGGAATTTGCTGAAAATTTCAGTCAAATTGATCCACTCTGATTCACTCGATCATCATTACTAAAGTTGGTACGACAAAATACATAGTCTTGATTATCCATTTCTTGATTTAATCATGAATGAGCATCGAGCAGCAGATCAGATCCTAATCCAGTAAATATCGCAGGCTAGCGATGACATTGAGAGTTGATTATGGTCTGGATAAGTTAATTAATGCCTAATTAATAATTTAGATAACATTTCAGGCCTAAAAAAGACCTGCAATAGGCAGATTTAGCTCTTGCATAATGTATGTTTAAAATGTGCTGTTTAAATGTGGGTTGAAAAATCGCTAGTCTAAGTTTGATTATTTTTTTTTATTTCTAAGCTACTGATGTCATTTTTTTCAGATAATGTCTAATTTCTCACAACGATGTACTCAGATTCGTTATTAAAGAAAACAAAAGCCAAAATATGTGGGTTTATATGCGTTCGTGTCGGTCTTGCAAAGATGCCTCAACAAGGAAATTGGTTTTACTCTGGGTGAGAGGGCCAAGCTATAGTTTCTAGGCACTGCTTTGGTTAAATTGTGCTGATTCGTCCATATCAGCCCATAAATTTATACAATAATAGACTCAAAATAGAAATGAGAATAACCAGCTAATGTAAATGAGTGAACATGAAAGTTGATTAAATAATGTGATAGGAGTTGATATTTGGTAGATATCAGTCTAGCTTGCAAAGACTTTTTTCATCAAACGCCAAATTCAACGCTTAAATAGGCACTTCTTAGTTAAAGATACATTATGTAAGATTTAGATAAATAGCTGACCATTCTTGCTATAATAGTTCAAAAATAGATTATGTAAAATGAAAATATTGAAAATTGAAATTATTTCATTCTGAGCCAAATTATCACTGTTTGTAGTTTTGACAAGATGTGTGCATTGTGGTAACCAGGGAACTGGTATATTTGAGACTTAGCATCGCTTTCCCATTTTTAAATTAAATTTTTAAATGGCAAACCGTTCTAATCTAGTTAAAATCTTGAGTATCCAATGCCATTGAGCGTTGGTTATGGTCTTGTTTTGTTAATAAATGTCTAATTGATAGTTTATATAACATTTCAGGCCTAAAGAAAGACCTGCAAGGGGCAGATTTAGCTCCTGCATAATGTATGTTTAAATTGTGCCGACTATTTTGTGGTTCCAAATAATGAAACTTATATAAAGAGTTTTTCAGTATTACTGGGTTGTGTTGTGTTATTCAATTTCATGCATCACCTTTCTCAATTGACAATTTCCCTCACAGGATGTCTAACTGAAGTGCGAAATAACCAAAATCACTTGCATTCTGCTAATTTTGTCAGTGTAAGTAATAATTTCTCATTAGCTAATAGAGGCTAATTGTAGCTAAAACATACACATCAAAATATACTAACTTTCAGCTATTTACTTGTATCTAGTAACAACACAACTTTTCTTTTTTTTTATTTCAAACCTGTCATTATCGCTTAGAAGCGAATCGTAACCCTTGGCTAGCAAAGATACAAATCTGTATGTAAGTCTCAAAATTAAGGAAGAGTCTTGATTAGTACTCAACCCTAATAAAGATTGACTTTAATTCCCCAGCATGAAGCAAATAATTGAACGCTTACCTCGACTGAGTTCTGATGGTTTTAAATGGTATACATCTTCAACCAACATAAATCCAGACTGGATTAATTTATTTTTTAATGATGGTCCGAGAGGATAAGTTGATAATTCTCTCTGCATTTTATTGTTTACATTATTGAAACAGCCACATGGACTCTCGGCTCTGTTGTTCTTTTAAAAGATCAAAAAATATATAAATAAATATGCTTACATAATACTCAAATTTCTAGAACATACTATACATTCTGTAAAATAACGAGCGGTTGCCATGCAAGATACGCCCACATTTTGCAAGAGATGGACAGAGAAAGAGCTAAAAAAATAATGTGATTTTTTGTGCAATCAGAGGCAATAATCCAGGAAGTTATCTTTGGATATGCGTGTTTATCAAAAGGAACCAAGATTTTAGTGTGTAACAGTGATATATTTACACGTTTTTTTAAATCGGATAAAAAATGTGACCTCTAAATTTTGTACAATCAAGGGCCATAATTCAGGATGTTAAGATCCGATATATGGTCCGATATGCGCTAAAAACGCGATTTTCCATATAATCAGGGGCCATAATTCAGGAAGTTACGATCCGATATGCACGAATATCGAAAGGAACCAAAATCTTTGGGTTATGAACATACATTTCAAGTTTCATCAAAATTGTTTGTGGACACTCTCTACAGGTCACAATTTTTATCCGATTTCAACAATACTTGAAATATAGGTTTATCTCCCTTAGATCTCCCTAAGACTTCATGGATTATGGTCCCTGATTATACGAAAAATCAAATTTTTAGCTTGTGGATGGACAAACAGGGGCGATGGCATAATACGTCCACATGAAAATGTTGGTGTATAAAAATGGCCTTTTTTAGCTTGTGGTCCCTCTGGAGGTCACAAGTATTATACGATTTTATAAACCATAGTGTAAACATCTGGTATATCAAGGTTGTGGACCCTCTAGAGGTCATAATTTTGATTTCATTTTGATGAATCTTGAAATACATGTTTATAACCCACAGATCTTGGCTGCTTTTGATATTTGCGCATATCGGATCGTAACTTCCAGAATTATGGCTCTTGATTGTACGAAAAATCACGTTTTTAGCTTGTGCACAATTTTTATCCGATTTAAAAAAAATGTTTTAGTGTATCACAGTTACACCCTAATGATGGTTGAGTTTGAATTTCGTTAAAATCGGATTAAAACTGCCGGACAAAATGGCCACCCCTCGTATGCAAATAGTGTAAATATATGGTATATCAAGGTTGTATTATTACAGCATATTATTATTATTACAGCATATTTATAGTGCACCCTTTCATATAACATGTTCAGGGGCACTTTACAAAGTGACAATGTAAATCACACATAAACAACAAGATTATGGGCATGTTAACGATTGTATACAGAGTCAGTTAAAAGCCTGATTAAATAAATGTGTTTTAAGTTGTTTTTTAAAAGAATACAGAGATGTACAACATCTTAAACTAAATGGTAGATTATTCCATAAAACAGGTGCTTGATAACTAAAAGAGCGCGGACCATAGGAGACTAGTTGAACAGTTTTGGGCTTTAAAAGTAGTTTATCTGATGTACGTAATGTTCGGCCAGGTGTATAAAGTTCTAAAAGATCTGAGAGGTAAACAGGAGCTAAATTATTTAAACATTTAAAAGTAAGTAATAAAATCTTAAAATCAATTCGATATTTAACAGGTAACCAGTGTAAATTATATAAAACAGGAGTTATGTGGTCACATTTCTTAGTTAAAGTAACAAGTCTAGCCGCAGTATTCTGTACTTTTTGTAATTTATCTATAAGCTTTAAAGGTAAACCAACTAAAAGTGAATTAAAGTTATCTAATCAAGCAGTGACCAGAGAATTAACAAGTGACTTAGTGGCCTCTACAGTTACACATTTATGTATTTTACCTATATTTCTAATATTAAAATAGCACAATTTACAAATATTATTTACTTGAGCTCCCATAAGCATAAAACTATCAAAGATAGCGCCAATATTACGAGCAGAATAAGATGAAAATATATCACAATTACCAATTACAACAGGGGGGTTATCTTGTGCAGATTTACTTAATTGATGCCTTGAGCCTAATAACAAATATTCGGTTTTATCATCATTCAATTTTAGAAAGTTCTTTGACATCCATTTTCTAATTTCACTAATACAGTTCTCAAGTTGCAATTTTGATAAATTGAAAGAAGATGGACAATTAGGTGTAAATGAAATATATAATTGAGTATCATCGGCATACAAATGAAAACTGAGACCATATTTTCTGACAATATCTCCTAATGGTGACGTATAGAGGGTAAATAAAATCGGACCAAAAACAGAACCTTGGGGAACCCCAGATGACAAAACAGATTCAGACGAGGATTTGCAATTAACTAAAATACACTGTTTTCTACCCACAAGATAGCTCTCTAAAAGATTTAATGCAGAGCCACAAATACCGAATTTAAATTGAAGTCTACGTAGAAGAATGGAAGGGTCCACCGTGTCGAAAGCAGCAGATAAATCTAATAAAATTAAAAATGTACATTTTCTATTATCAATTTCCATTAAAATATCATTTGAAACCCGGGTTAAAGCTGTTTCGGTACTGTGAAATTGTTTATAAGCACTTTGAAATGGTTCATACAAACAGTTATCATCTAGATGGGCCTTTATCTGAGAAGCAATACATTTCTCCAATATTTTAGAAATAAAACTTAAGTTAGAGACTGGTCTGTAAATTTTAAAAACATTAGGATCCAGTGTAGACTTTTTAATTAAAGGGGTAACATAAGCTCGTTTGAAAACGTTGGGAATAGTAGCGGATGATATACAAGAATTAATAATATTGGTAAAAACTGGAATAACTTTGTCTAGACAGTCCTTAAGAACAGAAGTCGGAACAGGATCTAATGAACAAGATTTAGGAGCAGACGATTTAATTAGCTTTAAAACAAAAGATTCACTAACCAAGTTAAAATTTTCTAAATAAACAGAATTTTCTAACTTATCAAAATCATGAGCGTTAAAGTCAATAGTTTTATTTAAATCATCAAGTTCAGTTCGTATTTTCTGTATTTTTATTTGAAAGAAATCAGAGAATAAATTTGCAAGTTCAGTGTCATTATCATTGTCCGGGAGGATAGTACGCTCAGCATTATGGTCCAAAAGGGAATTCACAACTTTATACAGGTCTTTTTGTCTGTTTTCGCCATTTTCTATTTTATCAGAGTAAAATTTAATTTTAGCATCTTCAATTAATTTATTCACATTGTTTTTTAAAGATTTATAAATCTGTTTATGGACATGTAGATTTGTTTTCCGCCACAGATGTTCAGCCTTATTACGGTCCCTTTTGGCTTCTAAAATAGAATCATTAAACCACTGCGTATTGGGACGAATAGTAAATGTTTTCGTTTGCACAATTTTGATCCGATTTTGATGAAACTTGAAATATATCTTTATAACCCAAAGATCTTGGTTCCTGTTGATATTCCGATTTTCACGAAATTCAAACTCAACCATCATTAGGGTGTAACGGTGATGTACTAAAACGTTTTTTTTAAATCAGATAAAAATTGTGAACTCTAGAGGGACCACAAGCTAAAAACGCGATTTTTCGTACTATCTGGGGCCATAATTCATGAAGTTTCGATCCAATATGCACAAATATGGAAAGCAACCAAGATCTTCGGGTTATAAACATGCATTTCAAGTTTCATCAAAATCAGCACAAAATGTGACCTCCAGAGGGTCCACAGCATTGATATACCAGATGTTTACACTATTTGCGTACAAGGGGCGGCCATTTTGTCGAACTCAACCATCATTAGGGTGTAATGGTGATATACTAAAATGTTTTTTTAAATCAGATAACCAGCGGCTGTCGGGCAGGATACACCCACATTTTCGAGAGATGGATAGCGAACAAGCTAAAAAGAAAGTGATTTTTCCTACAATCATGGGCCAAAATTCAGGAAATTACAATTCAATATGCGCAAATATCGAAAGGAACCGAGATCTTTGGGTTATAAACTTACATTTCAAGTTTCAACAAAATCAGATAAAAATTGTGACGTCTGTAGGGTCCACAACCTTGATATACCTTATTTTTACGCTATTTGAGAACGAGGGGCGGCCATTTTGCCTGTCACTTTTGGGCCGATTTTCACAAACTTCGAACTCAGCCGTCCTTAGGGTGTAACGGTGATACACTAAAACGTTTTTTTAAATCGGATAAAAATTATAACCTCTATAGCCATAGGGTCCACAAGCTAAAAACGCAATTTTTCCTACAATCAAGGGCCATAATTCAGGAAATTACAATTCGATATGTGCAAATATCGAAAGGAACCGAGATCTTTAGGTTATAAATTTACATTTCAAGTTTCCTCAAAATAGGATTAAAATTGTGACCTCTATAGGGTCCACAAGCTAAAAATGTGATTTTTCGTACAAACAGGGGCCATAATCCATGAAGTTTCGATACGATACATGCCAATATCGAAAGCAACCAAGATCTTTCGGAGATAAACCTTTATTTTAAGTTTCGTCGAAATCGGATAAGAATTGTGACCTGTAGAGTGTCAACAAACAAATTGTGGACGGACGGACAGGGGCGAAGACAATATACGTCCACATGAAAATGTGGGCGTATAAAAATTGTGACTGACAGTTTTGGTCAAATTTTCACTAAATTCAAACTCAACCAACATTACGGTGTAATGGTGATATATTTGAACGTTTTTGTAAATCAGATAATAATTGTGACCTCTAGATGGACCACAAGCTAAAAAACACAAATTTTTGTACAATCTGGGGCCATAATTCAGGAAGTTACGATCCGATATGCGCGAATATCGACAGGAACCAAGATCTTTGGGTTATAAACTTACTTTTCAAATTTGAACAAAATCAGATAAATATTGTGATCTCTATAGGGCCCACAAGCTAAAAACGGCTAGAAATTCACGCAAATCTCCGAATCTAATTTGCGCAAGGATTCTCGCAAGTGTACGCCGCTGCGAATCTATAAGGATTCGCGTAAAAAATTTTTAAAAAAAAAATCTCGGAGAAGTGTCGAGTCCAACTATTGAATGTCAGTCAGTGTTCTTAATCGGCTGTATTTTGTGGGGTTCAGCCAATTTGTGATGTTTAATCTAGCCGATTGATAAAACAATGAATCGGCCACATGGTATCATAAATCAATCTACTTGTGGCTAATATTACAACGCGTTAATTATTACTTGTTATTAAAGAAGTGTTGGCTACAACAACTGTCATACCTTAGCGAGAATCGGCCATATGTGGTTCATAATCCGACTAATAAGAAAATTTAACGGAGATTTTGATAATCCTTTAAAAAAAAAAAACAAGTTTGCTGATAATTCATAATAAGTTCAGTAAAATACGCCACATGGTGAATGAAGACGATCTCGGCATGGTTTGCGAATCGCGCATCCGTCCATGTGAATTCCAAGTACCGATAGATATTAAAATAATAACTGGATCATACATTGATAGATTCACTGACCAGTTGTTAGGTAAATTTAAATCTTCATTGAATATAATCCCCTGATCGAACACCGAATACCATAGAGAGAGAAACAGTGGATATTTTCCCAACAGAATCTCGAATACCGAATTCCAATGACACGTGACATATCCGTTGGAATTAGGTCAATAAACCAGTTCTAAATAGCTTTTACTGTTATGATTTTTTAATTTATACACATGCTGACAGAGACTTAATTTTAAAAATAATATTGATGGCTATATCAGAGTAGTACATTTTATTTTATAGCAACTTCAATTATGGTTGTCACATGATCATTGTGCCGTTTGTCTATCATCGACGAATGAATAAAAATTTTTGCAAGTTACGTGACTAGATAGGTGATGGACAAAAGACTACAAATTGTGCTATGAAGAAATGCCAAGGTGCTGTATCAGCTTATTTTGACTACGGCATTTTCTGGATATTACTTTTGACACAATTTAAAGTGTTTATCAAAAACTCCATCTGATTGTTTTATTTTTATCATTGTTGTTGTATTTTGGTGTTTTAGATTATCACAATAAACACAATTTTTTTTTTTAGGCCGTATTATTAATTAAGATTCGGAGGATTCAAGCAGATTCCATATATGAGAATCCTCTTAGATTCTCGCAAAAAATAACGAATTTCTAGCCCTGAAAAATGTGATTTTTCATACAATTAGGAGCCATAATCCCATAAGTTACAGTCTGATACATGCCAATATCGAAAGGAACCGAGATCATAGGGAGATAAACCTATATATTAAGTTTCGTTGAAATCGGATAAAAATTGTGACCTGTAGAGTGTCCACAAACAATTGTGGACGGACGGACAGGAGCAACGACAATATACGTCCACATGAAAATGTGAATCCAAATAAATACCAGCGGCTGCTAGGAAGAATATGCCCACATTTCTCAAGAGATGGATAGAGAACAAGCTAAACAAAAAGCGAATTTTTCGTACAATCAGAGGCCATAATTCCGGAACTTACAATCCGATATGCACAAATATCGAAAGGAACCAAGATCTTTGGGTTATAAACTTATATTTCAAGTTTCATCAAAATCAGAAGAAAATTGTGACCTCTAGAGGGTCCACAACATTCATATACCTTATTTTTACGCTATTTGAGTACGAGGGGCTGCCATTTTGTGTGTCAGTTTTGGTCCGATGTTTATGAAATTCGAATTCAACCATCCTTAGGGTATCGGTGATATACTAAAACGTTTTTTTAAATCGGATAAATATTATGATTTCTATATGGTCCACAAGCTAAAAACGTGTTTTTTCGTATAATCAGGGGCCATAATTCAGGAAGTTACAGTCCGATATGCGTGAATATCAAAAGGAACCGAGATCTTAATTACATTTCAAGTTTCAACAAAATCGGATAAAAATTGTGACCTCTATAGGGTCCACAAGTTAAAATCGAGATTTTAAGTTCAGGGGCCATAATCCATGAAGTTACGGTCCTATACATGCCAATATCGAAAGGAACTGAGATCTTAGGGAGATAAACCTATATTTGAAATTTCGTTGAAATCGGATAAGAATTGTGACCTGTAGAGTGTCCACAAACAATTGTGGACGGACGGACGTCCAGACGGACAGACAGGGATAACAACAATATATGTCCACATGGAAATGTGGGCGTATAATGATACATTTGAAGTACAAGGTTAGTCATGGTAACTAGTGTACATTACCAGTATAGACTTAAAAAAAATTTATATTAAGGCTAATTGTTTAAATTGCCATAGTTCTAATGTTATATATTGTATATGTGAGTTTTGTAAGAAACAGTATGTTGGCCAAACTATCACCCCCTTAAGTACCAGACTTAATAGTCATAGAAGTAATATTAAATTGAAAAAGATTGGAAAATCACCTAACATAGCCCCACACTTTAATACACCTGGTCATGAATCTTATGTCTGCACTGTGATGGATAAAACCCCTCAGAACAATACAGCCAAACTCAATATTGCTGAATCACTTTGGATCCACAGATTAATTCTACACCCCCTTTTTTTAACCATACATCATTTATCTATAATTTAGCCTATATATTATGTCATCAAAGTTATGAGGTCATATTAACATTATGACATCACTAGTTACCATGACTAACCTTGTACTACAAATGTATCATTCCTATAATATGTACTCTCTGAAGAAGTAAGTTTTTACACTTACGAAACGTTAGATTCTAAGATAGTTTTGTGATACCCAACACTTTGTTTTTAACCACCTGAAAATGTGGGCGTATCAAAAAACACTGTCACGCAGATCCTATTTCGTTTCGTTTTTTATAGTTCAAAATTTTGTTTTATTTGTCTTTATTACACTAGGATCTGAACGAGTTGTTATATAACAGGTGTTCTGGATGTCGTGAGGGATTAGCCTATGAAGCCATCTGAAGTTCTGACAAGATGTACTCAAAGGTCGTGTCAGGTGTCATACAAGCGGCTTTTGACCCTATGACGTCAGACATTAATTAATCAATCAGTGTTGACGTTTCTAGTGGTTTACCCACAGTTCCGTGCATGGCACCCAAAGAAGTCACTTCAACCAAAATGCCAGTAAAATAACAACTCTTCCAAAAACGATATTTTGAACTATAATTTAGTATAAAAAAGAAAAGGAAATAGAATCTGTGTTATAATCAGATTGTCGAAAGTATTGTATAAAAAAAACAAAATGAAATATAAATCTGTATTTTAATCAGATTGTGAAATACGCTGACACACTGCATGGTCTCGAAATCAATACAGCCATAGAGACGGCCGGATGCTTATCCGAAAGGAAACTTAATACCGGTACATGTTGACAAGGATTCTTTATGCCTTCAGAAAATCTAAATCATGTCATGTTCACAAGCTTTTCCGGAAAAATAATTTTTGAAAATCAACAAGGTTCATCCCCTCCTATGCCAATGCTTCACACGAAACTGGAAAAAAAACTGTTGCCTCTATTGCACAAATAACAAGGTTTTCGGAAAAGGGGGGTATCCCACAACGCAAAATAAATGTCGATTGAGTTCATCCTCTCAAGAAGCAAATGCTTCACGCCAAATATGTAACAAAATGCATCTTGATTTGATATGCGGTTGGAGCGCTGAAAATCGATAGGATTCAATGAATGCCAAAAGAATCGGGGGAGTGGTAACTCTGGAACGAAATGGCTCGGGGGCGCTGTTGTGGGTTGATCTGACTACTTTTTTCATTCGTCTTTTCATTTCTGTTAAGCACATAAAGTAAAGATGATAATGAATAAATCTTTGTTGAAGTCCCAACATACTAGTTTAGGTCAGAGTAAACGGTTTAGAGTACTTGGAAACAACCGCGATGATTATGATTGATGCATATTCACACATTTATCTTACGCTTTTAAATTTGTCCCTCCCGCTCATAAAGTAAAAGTAGACAAGCACATGTACACACAAAGGCCTCTGACGTCAGCGTTTGGTGTGCACAACTATACCAATGTAATGGGGTTATAAACAAAGACTAAACGTGATGGATCGTCCTTCGGGGAACGATACTGCTTCATATAAACGATTTTTAGATAAATTTTGTGAAGAAATAAGTGATTTTACCTTCGAAGATGACAACCTACCTATAAAGATTTTGTCATATTTTTTGAGAGAGGAAGAAATTGAAGGTGAATGTCTCGGGTGGTCACAACAATATCTCCTTTCGAAGTAAGTCAAGTTTATCATATTCACAGATATTGTTTTCATTTTGACATTTATTATATGTAGTTCCAACTAGGCCTGACATCAGTCCATGAGTCCATCACGTATAATATGATATAGTAACTATGGGCTGTCGAATGCCGGTAACTAGATTAAAGCCTTAAAATGCACTTGCCTTCCATTTATCTATTTAAGTTTATGTTCTATAATATGTAGGACTAGGCCAACCCAGCTAATAATTTAGTAAAAATAGGCCAGTGTACTGTAAGTTGCAACTGTTGTGTTCAATGTGCATGAACTCTAATATCTAATCGGTATTTGCCAGTATTGGCAATTACCAACATCTTATAAGAAGAGCGGCTGGTTTCAAATACAATTATTTTTGTTCGATTTATATAGCGCTTCATTACACGTGAAGTGTTTCTAAGCGCATATCACAAACATATACTTCAAACACACAGAAACAATCAAAATCAGGAGAACATAATTAAACACAATTAAACACAGCTGCCTGTTAGGCGCTATTATTCAAAGGTTTATATCCAACAAATCAACCGGCTAATCTCTTTATTGAACTCAGTCGAGGTATTACCTGAAGAACACTTACATCAAGCAGAGTTCAAAAATAAAAAAACGAAGTTTAAAAGAATCAACTTCATTAACAAAAATTAAACAATCAAAAACTAAACAGATAAATCAAATTCAAACGAAACAAATAAAACAAAGAAAATGAAAAGAGCAGTTCATTACCATTCTACATTAACAAAATAAAGGAAAACAACTTGTGAAAATATTTTCAAAAAATAAGAGCAAAGTAACACTAATGTTAATACTTTTTTAACGAACATATCATAAATATAATTAATTATATCTGTTATAACACAAACAAAACTTGTATTATTAGTGGACGTTTGGTTGTCAGGTGCCCCCCTCAGAAAATTATGAAAAATATGTATGTACAGGGGCGTAAATGTGTGGGGGTAGACCCCCCCCCCCCCAGCGAAAAAAATAGTTGGTCGCAAAATAAATGCAGTCGGTCGCAAAATAAGTGCAGTCGATCACAAAATAAGTGCTCAATGAATTAATGAGGTAAACAAACAATGCCAAAATTGAAGGAAAAATCCCAAATTTTATGTATTTGTGTGATTCTGTGCACCAAAATTGCATACGTCACGCTAGACAGGGGCGGATCCAGGAATTTTTGCAGGAGGGGGTTTTCCAGGTTCCTGAGAAAATGTATTCTCCCCCCCCCCCCTCGGCTTGAAATCTTTGGAGAAATACATGGTCTCTATCGTCATTTTGGCGTATATACATACACATTGATCTTTTTAAACAGAAATCCAACATCCGGTTTGACGTCAATTTGTATTATGAATTAATACAATGACATTTTGTGATTCAATTTTATTGATGCAAACCATTAATTGTGATATGTATATATCATTATTTCGCGCTTTGATGCCCATCCTGTCGCATTATCTGATGATAAAGGATAAAGCACAATTATGACACTTTTCTCATAAAAAAGGTTGTTTTACAAAAAATTTTATGTAGCTAAGCAGGGAGTGGGGGATCCCCCAAACCCCCCCTCTGGATCCGCGCCTGCTCACCCAAAACTTTAGTATAAGATACCTTATCAACTTATCATGTTTGAAAAAAACGTTTTTTACCCATATTGTGTTGTGAGTTGGTCTAAGAAAAAAAATTCCCCCAGGGAGAAAAATCAGACTCAAAATAAATGCAGTCACTGCAGTCGGTCTCAAAATTATGCATCAGCGACTGACGAAATGCATTAATGAGGTAAACAAACAATGTCACAACAGAAGGGAAAAATTGCAAATACTTGATATACGTGCACCTAAATTTCTTACGTCACATTGTCGGTCTCAAAATAAGTGCTCACTGCAGTCGGCCTCAGACTAAATGAATTAATGATGTAAGCAATGCCAAAATAGAAGGGAAAAATTTTGTGTGAATCCGTACACCTAGATTTCAACGGTATATAGTATAAGATAACCTAGTCAACTTGTCATGTTTGAAATAAAAATTTCCCTGTTATGAGTATGTTGGTCTAAGAAATTGAGAGAGCTTATTACAAAGATTTTATTATTTATTGTCATACGAATAACATTAGTCGAACAGTTGGTAAGAAGTTATCGGAGGCATAGTTTGTTTCAGAAATATGTAAAAAATCTTTAAATTATGAAATGTTAAAGCGATCTATTGAACTTAAGAATTTTTACTTGTTGCATATTTAATCCCAGTAGAAATTAAAACTTATTTTACTCATGTTGTAAGCATTTTCTGACCATCAGAATTCAGCAAAACCTTTCGCCAGACCCCAAAGTCCAGTAAATGGCATTTCAGAGACCAAGGAAGTGCCCCCGTGAGACAGTCCTCTCAGGCCCAGTCCCAAAAAATTAAAAGCTCAGTTACATAATCTAAATTTTTTTTGCACAATTCTATCATGTCATTATTCTTCAAAGTCAAACTTCTGTCTTATACAATCTCATCACTATCATATTCACAGTTACAGTGAATCAACCAGTTAGTAGTACCACTAGTGAGTTGGGTGACAGACTGTAGAATTGTTATTTCTACTCTCACAAAACAGGCGAAATTGATCCCATTTGTGATGACATTGACTAAAACTTTTCAGGCCCAGTCCCCAAGAATTAAAAGGTCAGTTACATATCCAAAATTTTTTCACGCCTGCACCACTAGATTCCATTATGACATCATTCTTCCACTCCTCTGTGGTCTTATACTGCCTCAGCACTATTATAATTCACGGTTATAGTGAACTGCCCAGTTAGTAGTACGGCTGGTGTGTGGTCTTATACTGCCTCAGCACTATTATATTCACGGTTATAGTGAACTGCCCAGTTAGTAGTACGGCTGGTGTGTGGGTCGTGGGGCGTCAGACTGTACAAATGTTCTGGTTCTCTTGTTCACAAGAATTTGCTCCCAGCAATGACCTCAAATGCCAGGATATTGATTCAATTTTTCAAAATTTTCTCAGGTTGCTCAGTGTGATAACCATTGCCCCTAAGGTTCACATAAATTTAATAACAAAATCAATAACAATCATCATATTATATGACATAAACTTTATGTCAACTTGAATATAACTGCTTTTCGACGCGACAATGATCGGCGAACAACTATACGATCTATGTTCTACCGGGACGCCCAGTGTTACAGCCAGTATTTTGTTGACATTCATTGCAGGTTGTGATTGTGGATGGCACCCTAGATTTGGAACCCCCCCATCCCCTATTCCCAGCTTCCAGATCAGCTACTGGCCCCTAGAAAACTATCATCTGTGGTGCTCAGCCACTGACTGCATCACTCGTATTAGGGACATGTGCATCAGTTGGTCACATTTTTGCTAAACACCCCCCAAACAAAATCTTTATGTACACCCCACCGTATGTACTATATATAGGCTTATGAATTTAAAGAATTTTAATTAGACAAATTAAGGAATCCCTGTTTGTCTATATTTAGATCAAATAAGAGTCTAAGCAAAAACTGGGTCACTCCATGTCAAGTGGACAAATTTCTTAGAAAGTTGTCAGATAGGCTACATGTTGTAAAACTGCAAAGTTATATTATGAATCTTTAACCGATATTGGACAGACATTTGGCCTTTTAAATACGAATTACCATTTGCCTAAAATTGTTTCAAAACTACTAAAAATGATTGATTTTAGTGCAATGCTTAAGAAATGAAATGGGGTTTAACATCCTACTTTTCTTCTCCATCCGGGATAAAAATAAAGACGGGCATATGCCATACAGTGTGCTATGAAGGAGATTTTGCTGGTGGTGCTTCTTCTTCTATTAGTGTTTAACGTCCGCTTCCACTGAGGGTGATATCGCAGACAATTAAGTTATCTTATTTTTGTTATCAACTCTCTAGAACTTCGGATGGTTATGATTTTTAATAGAATTAAATATGATTGGCAGTGAATGATAGAATTTAAAAATGGATAATTGAGACTTTGATAATTATGGTAACAATGTCAATCAAGATTACACTGTTCCGCAAAGGATGATAACTCCGCTCAGAATGAAGTAATTTGACTGAAATTTTCAACATATTCCCCTTTCATTATCTATTTTATAACTATTAGAGCGAGAACTGTCAATGTCAGCTCTTTATCTAAATCTTACGTAATGCATTTTCATACGACCACATGGAAATGTGGACGAATATTGCCGTCCCGTCCATCCGTCCGTCGTCCACAATTTCTTGTGAACGCTCTAACTCCAAAAGTTATTATCTGATTGTTTTAAAATTGATATTGTGGATTACATTAGTGAGATGAAGAAGTCTATTTAATTTCAATAATTTCTGTTCATTACGTATAGAGTTATGGCCCTTGTTTCACTTTTGTTGAACCTTGTAAGCGCTATTACGGCAAGAGTTATCATCCTATCTTTGTGAAATTTCTATGCCTTATTTAAATTACTGAAACAAAGAATCCTATTGAATTTCCGTTCATTACGTCTAGAGTTACAGTATGGCCCTTGTTTCACTTTATTGAACCTTGTGAACGCCAAAAGTTATCATACGATTTTTTAGAAATTTATATGCCTTATTTAAATTATTGAAACGAAGAAGCCTATTGAATTCCACAATTTCTGTTTAGAGTTATGGCCCTTGTTTCACTTTATTGAACCTTGTGAATTCCGAAAGTTATCACCCAATCTTTGTGAAATTTCTATGCCTTATTTAAATTAGTGAAACGAAGAAGCCTATTGAATTTCAGCAATTTCTGTTTATTACTTCTAGAGTTATGGCTCTTGTTTCACTTTGTTGCACCTTGGGAACGCTCTAGCATCAAAAGTTATCTGCCGATCTGTATGAAATTTACATGCGTCATTTAAATAAGTAAAGAGAAGAATCCTATTGACTTTCAGCAATTTCCGTTTATTACTTCTAGAGTTATGGCCCTTGTTTCACTTTGTTCAACCTTGTTAATGCTCGATTGATGAAA